ATTTCTCACACATGACTGGATTTATTTTCATTTTTTTTAGTACTCTTTCAATTCGCTCTACCCTCAGCCCGTGTCTCTAGTTACTTTTTTTATCATCATCACTTTTTTTGTTGTATATTTTTCGTATATTTTTTTGTCTGTCCCAACTTGTTAATGAAAATAAATTTCTGACGCCGTCGTCGCCCTGATAAATAATAATAATAACAAAAAGCATGTGCAGTTGTTGCTGCAGCCGCTGTTTTGCTGCCGCCGCCCGTTGATAATATCCGCCGGCCATTGCCATAAAAAGCAATGTGCAAAAAAAACAAGAACAAACAAAAAAGAATAAAAAAACACACACACAGCAGCCCGTCCAGCCGTGGCAAGAAAAATAATATAAGGGGGGCGAAAAAAGCAAAACTAAGCAAAAACAAATGTCAAAAGCAGGCGGCGGAATAAAAAAGGCGTCGAAGAAGAACAAGAAGGAGGAGAAGCTGCTGAGCTAGAAACGGAAGCAAAGGAGGAGGCAAGGTTAGCCGGGCCATTGCCACGCCTCTTTAAGCCACCCACAGCCCACAACCCGCATCACCATTCCTATTTCCTGTTTTCTGCCTGCATACTATGGCCACACTGAAGAATCAACTCGGATTTTGCATACAGATACAGTTTTCAGTCATTAAAATAAATGTAAAAGTACCTGGAAATAATTAAATTCTAAAAAAATGTAATGGCGAAAAATGTAGTGTAATTATAACACAGCTTTAATAACATATTTCTTGAAGGACTAAAGTTTAATAGGATTTAAACATGGTTACAGTGTATTTTTGTGGGTATCATTTGAATGTGGCTTCAAATATTTGCTGTTGTTGCTTTTTATGCCAGCAGTTTTTATTTTATATTAGGCATATACCATTCTAACCGAAAAAGTATTAACTTTAACCTTAGGAAAATATGTAAAAAGAAATTTTCAAACATATTAAAACTGGAATAAAATTTATTAAGTCTTTAAAAATATCGATATATCGATGATGTATCAATATGCAACGCGAAAGTCTGTATACAAATTGATATTTTTACATTGCGATAACATTTTTCGGATAATTTTTTATAGTATTCGTACTTAATTGTTAGATAAGATAATTTTCTATATTTTGAGTTTCCATAAATGAAAGTTTACAATATTTATGAAACTTTAAGGGATTTAAAAATAGTTTCTCCTTAGAAAATATTGATATATCGATGAAATATTGATATTCAAATCGAAAGTCAATATATAAATTGATATTTTTACATTGCGATAACTTTTTTCTGATCATTTTTCATAGTATTGGTATTGGGATGGGATTATTTTTGATATTTAAAGTTTTATAAAAGAAAGTTTACAATATTTATGAAACTTTGGAGGATTTAGAAATAATTTAGTCTTAGAAAATACTGATATATCGATTATGTTTTGATATTAAAAGCGAAAATCCATTCACAAATTGATATTTTAACAGTAATGCTTTTTTTGCGATAATATTCCATATTTAAAGTTTCAATAAATCAAACTTTATAATATTTACAAATATTGAAATTGATATTTTAACAGTGCGATAAAATATTTCTTATAATTTTCGATAGTATTTGTATTTCATTGCTAGATGCGATAACTTTCGATATATATGGGTAGGATAAATCAATGTTTACGATAGTTGCGATATGATATTATTTGATATATCATATCATATCGATATATCCAAGAACAGCTGTCTTTCTCTCAGTGAATTTTAAACTGCTTGAGACAAATAGGTGCATCATATCTCTATCTGTTCACCCCTCCATCTCGCTCCCTCTCTCTCTTTCTCTCTTTCTCCGTCATTTGCTGGAATTTTCTTCTTCGGGTAAATCGATAAAATTCAATTGCCAACTGGCACCCAACTTACCTATACATTCACCCTGAAAACCACTTGGGCACTCATAGTGGCAGTGCACTCTCCTTACCGAGAACTTATATTTTAAATAATATAAATATATTATAAATAAAAACAATTATTAAGCTTTAAACCGGTACAAAATGTTAAATATTTTTGTAGCATTAAATAAATATTATAATATTGGATGATTATTTACATAAAATATACCTATACTAAGATTATTTTTGGCTTGCTGTCGCTCTTTGGTATGTGACCTGTACTTTTGGATTCTTAACGATTACTCATTTGCAATTATGATTGCTCTTAACCCTTTGTTGTCCCAATGTCAATGACGTTAACCGTTTTTAACTGCTTTTCCACCCATCCTCCGCCACCTCTTTTGCTGCTTTTCACCATGATTTATTCCGATGTTCGTGAACTCTGTATATATATATGTATATATATATATATATTTCCCATTAAGTTCGATTTATTTTTCCTCATGGCCAGCAGCAGAGACAGGTAGAGTCGACAAAAAAACGAGCGTTAATTTTTTATCACTTGACTGTTTATTGAGTGGATTAAGTGGCAATCATGCTGACAGTATACACACATATATCCCATATATATATTTCTTGTTTTCCTCTTTTTCGGAATTGTTTTCCATGGATTTAACTTCCTGTTGAATGTCTATTCTTTACCAATTCTCATTATCTATTTATTTGCCATTCACTCTGAGAGACGACATTCTTTTGTCATATTAAAAATATTAATTAAAATTTCTAATTAGGCAAATAAAGTGAAGAGTTTCACGCAAAGTTTAAGAAACTTTTTCAAAGGGAAAAGCGAGAGGGGAAAACGTATATTTTTAGTTGGGAAACATATACAACAGACGTGCACTCAAATATATTACGCATACGCCCTAGAGGCCATTCATCCAAATTTAATTTCATACTCGGGCCTGTCATAAATACACACACACACACACACACACAAAATGCGAAAAATACAAATAAAAAATAAAAGATATACTAAAATGTTGACTCAAAAAGCAGAATAAGAAGTCAATTTGCCATTTAAAGAAAGCAAAAATACAAAAAATAAAAACTGTTGAATATGGCTGGAATTCGCTTATATAAGCGGAATATTTAATTTCATTCACGTGAATCTCATTAACTGAAAGGGAGACGGATTTCCTTTGATATTTTTGGTTTTGTGTTTTTTTTCTTTATCAATGAATCGAAATTTACATTTAAAATTAAGGTCCAAGATGATTGTAGATTGCTTTTTATTTGTGATACAAATTGGTGAAAATTCGTGATGTGTTTTTTTTTATTCAACAATGCTTAGTTTTAAAAGCAGAACTTTTAAAGATTAATTCTTTTTATTTCTTCTCTATTGTTTTTAATTAATTAATTTCATTGCCCAATTTGGCAAGAAAACCAATTTAAAGATTTCAAATTTCCCCATTTTCTGTGTGTACATCTCAAAAGTTGATTTTGTAACAAGCACGCATACGCACAAAAGCATTTTGAAAAATAAACAAAAGTTGAAAAGTTGAAAAACAAAAAAAAATGCTCTGGAAAAACAGCAACAACAAAAAAAAATGGGGTTAGCAGCCAGCCTAAAGATGGAGAACATTTTCTAATGATAGTTCCAAAATGATATATACCCCGAAATATATACAAAAATGTTTTATAGATTTATGTATATGTGTGTGGGGTCAAAATCCATAAGTTGCTTGACCTTGCAACCTCTGATTTTTTTTCGATTTTTTTCTGTCCTTTTTTTTGTTGTTGTCTCTTAGTTACATAAATTTTTGACAGGGCGCATGACACATTGAAGGACTTTGCCATAGACAGCTATTAAAAAAAAGGAAAAGGAGCACAAAAATGGCAGATGGAGATGACTCTGAGTCCTCTTTACTTTGCCTGATTATCCTGCTTCCTGGTAACTGAAAAGCAGCTTACTCATTCCTCGTGGAAAACCTTAACAGATTTTCTTTTTTTGGGCGCAGAAAACTTGCGTTGGTCCAACTTGTTATTACATTTTATCTTTGCAAACGTGTGTGTGTGTTTTTCTTTTGGTTTTCGGAGGCGGGGTTTCCTCATACAGAATTTTCCCACCTCCCCCCCTTCGAAGATTGCCCAATAATTGCGTATGGCAGCCGGCAAAGCTTCTAAAAAAAGCAATCGGAAAAACTGGCAGCCAAGAACTGGCACAATTTTATTTTTACCTGTGGATAAATGATGTCCGTTTTGGCTTAAAACCAAAGAGAGAAACCATAGAACCCAAGCAAAATGTAAGCATATAAAATTAAATTTAAGAAAGTTAAGTTTTATCTATATTTCTAGAGTAATTTAATGATTTTTAAAGTAGTATAGTTAGCGAAATATGTGCTCTTACTCACAGAAATCTGTATAATTATGTTATATAGGTTTTTTTGTAGAAAGTTTATTTAATTATTTTTGCAACAAGTTTGCAATTAAAAAGTTATAAATTAGTAAACTGCTTTGGAAATGCCTTTTAGTCCATTAGTTTTCCCAACAAAGCACCTGAAAACTATTTAATTTGTTTTAAACTCGACAAAATTTTTAACTAGCCAACTGACAAATTGTTATTAAACTTTCAAAACAATGATTAGAAGGTATATAAACATTGAAAGTACTGAATCACGTGTTATATATATGTTAAATACATATTATTTATTGATTGATTATTGAAAACCAGCTGCAATACACCTGAAAATGTTTTTGATTGTAACAATTATCTTGAAAAGCGTATTATCGCTGGAAGGCAAATGGTTTTCCCAGTAAAAAAGCAATTGATTCCTTTTAACGCTAATTTTGCGGGAACTAGAAACCAGCCAAGAGGGAGACAGAGAGAGTCTTGATAAAAGTCCATGGTATTTAACCTTCTTTGCGCTTTTCCCTACTTTGGATATGGCGAAAAAACGAAAATGAAATAAGAATAATGATGTCCTTTTAAACCACTAAAACCCCCTTATCGGTTAGCACTTATTATCAGGTTGATTAGGAGATACTAAAACCCATTCCTTGAGATTAGTTTTAACCAAAAATTACTTGCAATTCCGGCAAGAAATGAAAGTAAAACCATTCAAAGAAATTGGATGCCAATTTACATGAATATAATTTGAAAAACAAGTATTAACTTAACACGAAATACAGCTTTGTGGATGCAATATTATTAGATAATCTCGGCCAGCTTAATTAGATCAATTAAAGCTCTTGGCTCGCCAGCCTTTGCATCTCTGTATTCCCGGCATTTTTCCAATACCCGCTCGAAACCCTCCACCATTGACTCTTGACCTGGCATCACTTCCGCTTTCGGTTTCGGTTTGGGTTTTGGATTCGGATTCTGATTCTGATTCTGATTCTGACTTGGAGTTATGGCCACGAAATCGATTGGCTCCCATTGGGCCCTCTGCGGCTGCGGCTGGATATCAATGGTTATGGTTGCGGTTTCACTTCCATCATCTGCATAAATGGTGGCCACCACAGCGCCAGCACCCTCAATCATGGCCAAAACGAGGCAGCCCACAAAGGCACTGTTGGCCATGGCCCGAATGCCATTGCGAGCTGATAATATGGCCCCAGTGGCAGCTCCACTGACTATCGAGTTCCAGGAATCCTCACGTTGACGGTACGTGATCATGGCACAGTCCACGGTGCTAAAGGTGGCGCCCCAAATGGCAAAGCTACCTGCCACAGCCGGTGTCCTCATCTTCACGGAGTCTATGCCACCGTAAATGCTGCGCATGAGTCCGGCCGGAGCATTCCGGAAGCCCTTAAGATACTGGAAGAGTCCTCCGCCAAGGGTGCCCATCAGGAAGGCACAGCCACAGTCCTCCACAATCCTTATGGGACACGGCTGTCGATTGTACTCCATAATAATTACGCGTTTATTAATTTATTGTTTCCCAATTTCAATGGTTATGTGTAAGGGAGGGAGTGTGTTGTGGAAATTATATTCCAGTTTGTGAGTGATCTACTTTGATCAAAAGGTGTTGTATTCTGAAGGGAATGTCAAGGATTGAGTCTGTTAGCAATTTAGTTTATGTAAAATATTCTCATACATATGTTTTCCATGAAACGCACTGTACTGATAGGGCAATTGATGAATCCTTTGTGCAGGTGTCAATGTGTCAAGTCAATTAATTGACGATCGAAATCGCTTTTGCGGTTAGTTCTCAGTTGACCTTTCCCACGGTGAATGTGTGTGAGTTTTTCCCACTTTTCCCCCATTTCCCCCTTTTTCTGTTGCTTTTTTAGCCCCTATTTTCCACCCCTTTCCCGCGTTTGACTTTCCATCTTGATGTCAAGGTGAAAGGGAAATGGCGAGGGGACCAAGTTCCATAAACTTGTCGCATTTCGCCTGAATGTGACATCTTGCCGGAGGGTTCCTAATACGTTCAGAGTAGTCTCTCCTTCTTGGTGGAAACATAGGAATTCAATTTCCTGCCAGTGTATCATCAAACCACCTCCCTCTCCCCCTCTGCTCGCTTTTCCGGAAATGCTCTTGAAAAAGGGCTGCACGCTAAAGCTGTTGGCATTTTGGTCCTAACACAGAGCAGCGGGGGAGGAAGGCGGTCACCCACAGAGTTTCCTTCACCTTGACAATGCCACATTGATGCAAAGTCGCAAAGAATGCTGCCCCATGGTGGCAGGAAGGTGACATTAGTGCAGCAGTAAATAAGATATTTCAACTTGGCTGGAACTTTAATTGAAATCGATGCAAGAATGGATCGATTTAAAGGAATAAATCGGAGAAAGGATATAGATTATAATGTAATTGAGGCTAAGAAAACCAACCTATACAGGTATATTTTTGTTAAGAGATAACCTTCTATTTCGATTATTTATTATTGCAATTTATTTACCCATTATATTAGCCATAAATTACAGGTATCGTGCGATTGGGATTCATAGAAATAGATTGGAAAATCGATCCTTCTCGCTGAAATTATATTTCAATCAATGCAAAGCGCTGTTCATTTGTTTTCCTTGGCAATTTGTTTCAATTTGATGGCGCCAAACCCTAATTGAAGTCAACCACATCCTGCGAGTGGGATTGAAAGGAAGTGTGGTTGGGTGGCTTTAGGCTTCAGTGACTTGAGTCTATATATATGAGTGTGAGTGTGTCTATTGTCCTTGTTGCGGTCCTGTCTGTCGCTAATTTGATTTGCTAGTTTGCCCTAGATCCGCAGTTCCTTAGTTTCCGATTTCCCACCCACTGAGTCACCAAGTCTCTTCCTTTTTCTGAAATTGGAATGAATTATTTGTCACAAGAAAGCGGCGCTCAAATCCTTGAGGCACACAGAGCCTGTCGCCCTCATTATTATTTATTTTGTATTTTTGCCATTTCTGGGCCAACTCTTTCTCTCTTTTTTTTTTCCTTGGTGTGCCGCCCACTTTCCGCCTGACTTTGCATAAATGTAAAGCGATTTCCCTCCCAGGACTCGGCAAACATTTTTGCTAAATTGAAAAGTAAAGCAAACACAAGTACATATATTATATATTAAATATATATATAGGTGTATATATATTTGTGTGTCTGGATTATGTTCCCGCACACCTGACTTGCAATCGAGCTTTAGTCTCAGTCCAGAGATAAGAGATCTCCCGATGCCCCCAGACGGTGACCCCATTTTTAGTACACAACACATTCCCTGATTTCTGATTTCAATTTATATTTCACATATGAGAAACCCCATTAGTATTACTATATGTTTATATATATAGTCCATCTATTTATATAATTAAATCTTGTATTTAAATATGGCAAACACGTTGCAGCTTTAGTTTTGGTGTCGTTTGTGGAGGTGACTCTTCAATTTGATATTCGATGCGAGTCAATAAGATTCAGATTCCTGCACATTTGCTATATATCCAATGTCCGATCATTAGCATTGACCAATTGTTATTATTAATTCGTGTGTTTGTTGTTTTATGCAATCCAAGATGTGTTTATATATGTCTGGCAATGAAATTGCTGGTGGCTCCACAGCTGTAATTAAATATTCCATTTGTTTCTTTGTGTAATTTAAAGTTGTAAACATCTGAAAAAAGAGCGGCGATACACCTGCAAATATTATTCATAATAATTATCTTGAAATGAATAGGCGCCAAAAAGATATCAGCTGGCAATGAAAAACGTGTTATCGCCGGTCGATTTCCCAGTAAAAGAGCAAATTGATTCGTTTATCGCTAATTTTGCGGAAAATAGAAATCAACCAAGAGAGAAAGAGACAGACTTTGAACGATAGAAAAGAGACACAAATAAAAAAACCCAACCCTGATAAAAGCAAATGCCATTTAACCTTCTTCGCACTTTACCCTGCCTCGGATGTGGCAAAAAATATAAAAAAAACGAAAATTAAATAACGAACCATGGCACCTCATAATGATGCCTTTGTCACTTGGCCAGCAATCACCCCTTTTAACCCACTAACGCCCGCTTATCGGTTGGCACCTATTATCGGGTCGCTTGCGAGAACCTTTTGGAGGCCAACAACACCGGAGTTCAAAATAATAGCACTAAAATTACTATAAAAAATTTTAAATGAAAATCACATTAAATTTATTTACCCCAAAATAAATGTATATATGTTCAAATGTATTATATTTCATTATTATTAAATTGGAAAAAGACCCAATTTATCCCAGATTTATTGACTTAACTTATTTTCATGTTCTATATTTGTATTTAAATTCTGTCTTAAGTAATCGTTTATTTTCTTTATTTCATTGTTCCCAATTTTTCCACCTTGGAGAATTGCTAAATGATAAAAATGCTTCTTCTAGCATCTGATATAATAATAATAAATAAGTTGAAATGCCTTTTTTATTTTGATTAAATTAGAGCATGAGAAAGTAAGGTGGTATTTGTAGTCTTTAGGGTTAATATATGATGTGACATATTTAATTTATTGAATACCTTTTGTATTTCATGTGTAAAAATTGCATTAAGATTATGATTTCTTACTGAAGCATTCCCTTATAATTAATTGTGCATAAGGTAACAACCTTTCACAATCTATAAATAATTAAGAAGAATATACTATGATATAAAATATAAGTCTATGTTATAATATAAAACAATAATAAATAATATAATATAATATAATATTATCTAAAATAATATAACATAATAAAATAATATATAACATAATAATTTAACATTGTAACATAATATAACATAATATAACATAATATAACATAATATAACATAATATAACATAATATAACATAATATAACATAATATAACATAATATAACATAATATAACATAATATAACATAATATAATATAATACAATACAATACAATATAATACTTATCCCAGAGAAAGGGGACATTTTTCAAGTTGTAATTATCTAAACAAGCAGTTATATTTTTTTGCCCCCGAGTGTTGATGAGACAGGCACATGTGTACTAAAAAAAAAGAAGCTAAACGAGGAAAGAGGAAGGAAAAAGAGCCCCCATAGATAAGTCAGAGGCAAAGTCGAGGCGACGAGGCTGCCCATGGTCGAGGCACATATTTTCTACATTTCGAATTTCTTTCCTTTTTTTACCCCACTTATTTATTTTATTTTTTTGCTGTTATTTTTTTAGCTGGGTCTTTCTTGTACTCCACTCTGTTGATGACTAATGCTGTACCCCCTACCCCCAGATCTCGCCACTATAATTCTATTTCTCTCTTTGCTTTTGTTTTTTTTTTTTGCGATAGTAGGATATTTTTATACCCTGTATATATGTGTGTGCGTTTTGCAGTGGTGTATGTTTGTATGTGTGAGAGGCAAAGAGAGAGAGGGGGCTAATGTGACGACAACGACGATTCTCTCGCTTTTCGTCATCGTCGCCAAAAAAAAAGAAAAAAAAAACAAACACTAATCTACAAAAACTAAGGAACAGATATGAGGGCTCATTTATGGATAATACATTTTTTGGGTGAAAAATTACACCTATAAATTAAATTAAGTTGCAAGTTAAACAAATATTATAAAATAAAACGAGAAAGGAAACTAGCCAAGGAAAAATAAAGTTTACATACCGTTAAAGTTTGCAATTGAATTATAGAATCAAATCGGAATTCTATCATAACTAAGCTAAAAATATTCTCATTCTTTGAATCGATATTTATCGATATTTTTAAAAGCCAATTTGTTCTTTAAATCAAAGCTTAAAAAGTCATAACTGAGCCAAGCATTCATTTAAAATTTGAAAGCTTTTCTATGCCAGTTTTTATTAGGTTAATAAAACTTCATAATACATTTGCATTTGTTTTGACCATTTTAAAAAAGTTACCCGTTATAAAAATGAAAAAAATTGGTATTTTTTGTATTAGTATTGGTATTTAGTATTTTTGGTATTGGTATTGTAATTTAGTATTTTTGGTATTGGTATTTTGTATTTTAAAAACTTATTAATTAAGCCATAATGACTTTAATTTTCATTCGGAAAGCTGTCTCATGTTAGTTATTATACGGTTAATAATGTATATTCAATTTAAAACATAAAAAAAAAATTTAAAATTTTTATATTCTTGGAAATTTTAAAGATGTAACCCCTTTAATTTTTTTTTTTTTTTTTTTTTAATTCGAATGTTTATAAATTTGTTTTGTTTATCTTTTGGAAAGAAAGATTCCCCTCGGTTGATACTAATCAATAACTTATGTGTTTTATAGGGTCGAAAATTAATCCTTAACTGCGTTGCAAGCTTCTTACTGAAATTATAATACGCAGTAAAGGTATAAATATAACATCAAGATCCCTAAGGACATATGATGTTAAAACTTCTAATAGTATCAATCTACAATACAATATCCTTGAGGATATATGATGTTACAACTTCTTATACTAACTTCGTATACAAAGCAATATCATTGAGATCCCTAAGGATATATGATGTTACAACTTCTTAGTTATAGTATACAGTACAATATCATTGGTGTTTATTCGACAGTCAAAAAGTATAGATTTCTTTTAACAAAATTACTTGCTATTCGATGCATATGAAAAGAAAATACGTATGAATTTGGAAAACACTCTTCTGGAAATGCAAGATGATCGATTAGATAATCTCGGCCAGTTTGATTAGATCCAGTAGCTCTCGTCGTCTCTCCCCGGCCATGGCATCTTGTTGATATTTCCGGCACTTTTCCAGCACCCGTTGAAATCCCTCCATGGTAGAGTCGTGACCTGTCAGGGAAACTGACTTTTCCGGAATCGATTTCGGATTCGAATCGATTGGCTCCCATTGGGGACGTTGCGGTTGTGTCTGGACATCGATGGTTTTGGTTGCGGTTGCCTCGCCATCGTCTGCATAAATTCGCCCCACCACCATGCCGGCCCCATCGAACAGGCTTAGAACCATAAAACCCATGAAGGCACCGTGGATCATGGCTGGAATACCCCTACGGGCTGCCATTATACCGCCGGCGGCAGCTCCACTTAATGCGGAATTCCAGAAATCATCCCGCTTCCGGTACGAGAATATGGCGCATTCGCATGCGGTAAAGGTGAGGCCCCAAATGGCAAAATTGCTGGCAATGGGCGGTGTCCCCATCTTCATCGTGTATATGCCACCATAGAATCTGTTCATAAAGCCGGACGGAGAGTTGCGGATACCCTTGATTAACTGGAAAAGTCCTCCGCCAATGCTGCCCATTAGGTAGGCGCAGCCACAGTCCTCCACAATCCTAATGGGACACGGTTGTCGGGTGTAGTCCATGATTGCAATATAATATCAATTTATTTCTTTCCTAATTTTGTGGTTTATTAATTCCTAATTTTTTGGATGAGGGTTTAGAGTGTGTTTTTGGAATTTATAGTGTTCCGTTTGTGTGAGTTACTTGTGGCTTAATTTAGCTTGTGACACTAGTGTAAATGCTAACTTTATTAAATGTTGATAATCAATGGGAATATATAAATGGGGAGGAGAGTCTATAAAATGATTTTCTGAACCATAAAATTATTTGTAAATTGGTTAAATTCCATGAAATGGTTAAAATTGTTCATAAATCGAAATTAAATGAGTTAATTAGCATAATATTTGTTTCGGATTTATTATTATTATGTTTATATATATATTACTAAATATTAGATATGGAATTTATGAAAAATAGGAAATATAAATTGGGAGAGTCTATAAAATAATTTTCTGAACCTTAAAACTAATTGTGAATTGGTTAAGTTATATTAAATAGTTAAAATTCTTCATAAATCAAAATTAAATGAGTTAATTAGACAAGTAGTTCTGACAGATTTATCAATAATATTTTTATAAATGTATATATATATTATTAAATAATAGATATGCAATTTATTATTAAAAGTTATAATTATTTAAACCTAATATAAATGTGGAGAGTCTATAAAATGATTTTCTGAACCATAAAACTAAATGTGAATTGGTTAAATTCTATGAAATAGTTAAAACTCATCATAAATGTGATCATTATAGATATTTTATTGAATAATAGATATGGAATTTATTTTAAAAAGTTATAATTAATTAAACCTAATCTAAATAGGGGAAGTCAATAAAATTTTTAAGTTTCAACCATAAAACTAATTGTGAATAGATTAAATTCTATAAAATAGTTCAAAATTCATCATAAATCAACAATAAATAATTAAATGAGTTAATTAGCAAAATGTTTGTCAGCAATTTATTATTATTATGTTTATATTTATCATATATATACTTTATTAAATTATAGGGAACTTATTTTAAAAAGTTATAATTATTGAAACCTAAAACTTGTAGCACAGTGACAGTCCGAAATCGGTTTTGCTTTTTTATTCTAGCTTGACGCATAAAAAGCACTGCCATTTTGCTGAGTTTTTTAATTAATGCAGCTGCCATCAAATGCGAAATTGTCTTCGCTTTTTCCGCTTTTAATTTTTTTAACCACATAACCCCGCCTCTCCTCGTCCCCGTACCCCCGCCCTGTTTTGGCCATAAAAATAAAGTTAACTGAGCGCGGTAAAGTGCGTTACATTATGACTGTTGTACAGCTCAGCAATTATTTATATTACGAGTCTCAGTGATTATAATTAACAATTCATTTCAGAAAATATTCTTAAAAACTATATATTATTATAATCTTTTATTATATATTATATAAACGGGTTAAAAAGATTTTAGTGACTTTCTTTTACTTTGAAGATTAGATGTACAGAGGAATTACTATTACAATTACAATATAATTGTGTTTTTAATTTTATTTATTAGTTTCCAATACAGTTATCAGCATCAACAGCCGAGTCAATTTAACCATCTCTCAATTTTACTTCAACTTTCCGAATTAAGGTTTCTTTCTCTTCTTTATTTCTCTCTCTCATGAAACGCACTGTACTGATTGGTTACTGTATCTCTGTGCAGGTGTCAATGTGTCAAGTCAATTAATTGACGATCGAAATCGCTTTTGCGGTTAGTTCTCAGTTGACCTTTCCCACGGTGAATGTGTGTGAGTTTTTCCCCCATTTCCCCCCTTTTTCTGTTGCTTTTTTTAGCCCCTATTTTCCACCCCTTTCCCGCGATTGACTTTCCATCTTGATGTCAAGGTGAAAGGGAAATGGCGAGGGGACCAAGTTCCATAAACTTGTCGCATTTCGCCTGAATGTGACATCTTGCCGGAGGGTTCCTAATACGTTCAGAGTAGTCTCTCCTTCTTGGTGGAAACATAGGAATTCAATTTCCTGCCAGTGTATCATCAAACCCCTCGCTTTTCCGGAAATGCTCTTGAAAAAGGGCTGCACGCTAAAGTTGTTGGCATTTTTGGTCCTAACACAGAGCAGCGGGGGGAGGAAGGCGGTCACCCACAGAGTTTCCTTCACCTTGACAATGCAAAGTCGCAAAGAATGCTGCCCCATGGTGGCAGGAAGGTGACATTAGTGCAGCAGTAAAGAAACTATTTCAACTTGGCTGGAACTTTAATTGAAATTGATGCAATGGATCGAATGGATCGATTTAAAGGAATAAATCGGAGAAAGGATATAGATTATAATGTAATTGAGGCTAAGAAAACCAACCTATACAGGTATCTTTTTGTTAAGAGAAACCCTTCAATTTCGATTATTTATTATTGCAATTTATTTACCCATTATATTAGCCATAAATTATAGGTATCGTGCGATTGGGATTCATAGAAATAGATTGGAAAATCGATCCTTCTCGCTGAAATTATATTTCAATCAATACAAAGCGCTGTTCATTTGTTTTCCTTGGCAATTTGTTTCAATTTGATGGCGCCAAACCCTAATTGAAGTCAACCACATCCTGCGAGTGGGATTGAAAGGAAGTGTGGTTGGGTGGTTTTAGGCTTCAGTGACTTAAGTCTATATATATGAGTGTGAGTGTGTCTATTGTCCTTGTTGCGGTCCTGTCTGTCGCTAATTTGATTTGCTAGTTTGCCCTAGATCCGCAGTTCCTTAGTTTCCGATTTCCCACCCACAGAGTCACCAAGTCTCTTCCTTTTTCTGAAATTGGAATGAATTATTTGTCACAAGAAAGCGGCGCTCAAATCCTTGAGGCACACAGAGCCTGTCGCCCTCCTTATTATTATTTATTTTGTATTTTTGCCATTTCTGGGCCAACTCTTTCTCTCTTTTCTTCCTTGGTGTGCCGCCCACTTTCCGCCTGACTTTGCATAAATGTAAAGCGATTTCCCTCCCAGGACTCGGCAAACATTTTTGCTAAATTGAAAAGTAAGGCAAACACAAGTACATATATTATATATTATATATATATATGGATTATGTTCCCGCACACCTGACTTGCAATCGAGCTTAAGTCTCAGTCCAGAGATTAGAGATCTCCCGATGCCCCCAGACGGTGACCCCATTTTTAGTACACAACACATTCCCTGATTTCTGATTTCAATTTATATTTCACATATGAGAAACCCCATTAGTATTACTATATGTTTATATATATAATCCATCTATTTATATAATTAAATCTTGTATTTAAATATGGCAAACACGTTGCCAGCTTTAGTTTTGGTGTCGTTTGTGGAGGTGACTCTTCAATTTGATATTCGATGCGAGTCATTAAGATTCAGATTCCTGCACATTTGCTATATATCTAATGTCCGATCATTAGCATTGACCAATTGTTATTATTAATTCGTGTGTTTGTTGTTCAATGCAATCCAAGTTGTGTTTAGATATGTCTGGCTATTTGTATCTTTTGTTTAATTAAAAATAAAGTAAACGTCTAGGCAATATGAGATGCAAGATGCGAGCTCTATGAGATTCTAGTTGAAATCATCCGATAGCCTGTATTAAGTTCTAGTTACTTTAGCACAAACTGTGTATATTTATGTATCTATCTCTTGGATAATGAATCTAACCGAGTCTGGGGAGTTGGGTGTGAGGTTGAAATTCGAGAAACTGCATTAAGCGAGCGCAGCGTTTAATTAAGTGTGGCTTGGGCAGTTCATAATAAACGTCAGTTTAATTAATTACTCCGACCGCCGGGGCGCAGCTCTCGTTTAGATTCTTGAGGTTTTTCCACGGCTTTTCCCCTCTGTACTCTGTGCTCCCTATTCTCGGTTCTGCTTTTGTCTCGAAGCGATTAACATAAATCCCCGGCACGTGCTGAGAGTCGTTTCATTTGAGTTGTATTTGCATTCGGAAAATTCTATGCAAATGCCGATGGGAGATAGCACAGACTACGGCCATATAGATATAGAATTTTATTTTGTTGCGGAAAAAATGCGATAAGAAGAAAGCTGCAAAGTATAATATATATCAAAACCCATAGAGAAAATCCTACATTCGGATATTCTGTTGCAGATAAAGAAGGGATACGTGTAGGGACAGAGATACATAGATACATAGATACATTTACGGCCAGTGGAGGTGTGAACATTTGTGTGTGCTATCGCCTTGAGCGAGAATTGGAAATCTGTGCTGCTGCTTTTCCGCTCCTCTGCCACTCGGAAAAGCTTCGGCTGCAGGCAATTGTCCAGAGACCGGGAGTGAGAAAGTAACAGGCAGCTTAAATAAATGGAGAATACAATACAACAAAAAATATATATGTATATGGAAGGGGGAAAAAAACTGACAGTCAGAGGTCATTCTGCCAATTAAAATGCTATGAAGTACTGGATAGAATTTTAAATTGTGGAACTTTCTTGGACTTGGAATCACTGTGGACGACTGTCAGCATAGTGACGATGTGCACCTACAGTGTGCGCTAGGCATCTTACTATTTAAACACTAAATCAAAATTAGTTGAAGCACAAATGTAGGTGAAAGTACAAAAGAGAAAATGTTTTTAAAATTGTGACTGTTATAGGTAGTATTGAAAAAATATTAATTTTTGTAATTAAAAATCTTTGTTAAAATAGCGAAACTTATTCGAAACTAATTAATGGGAAATTTTAAATTTTGTCACAAGACTTTGTATAAGAAATTTGTTGTTTTTTAGGTTTTGTTGTATTCGGATTATGTTTAGGGTTTCTTGCTTAATTAAATATATATTATCGAAATTTATGGTTAATTAATATAACCTTTATTCCTCACAAAATTTGGTATAAGAAGTTTTCATCGTCTTTTTTATCTAAATTTTTTTAAGATATGTTTTTGGTTGAATATAACTGTGGTTGTGGTTGGTTTGCTTAGTAACAAGTTAAATATGTTTTTTAAATTAAATACAAAGGTTTTTATTAAATATAAGATTATAAATATGTTTTTTTCCATTAAATGTAACCTTTATTTGTGGTTAATAAATATACCCTTTATTCCTTAAAAAATTTGTTAGAACTAGTTTTCATCGTGATATTTATCTTACTTCTTTAAGAGGTATTTTTGGTTGAATAGAACTGAGTTTTGGTTTGCTTAGTAACAAGCTAAATATGTATTTTCCATTAAATGTAAAGTATTTTAATTAATATTTGATTTTAAATATGTTTTTTTCCATTAAATAAATTAAAGTATTTTATTAAATATAAGATTTTAAATATTTAATTTTCATTAAATATAAAGTATTTTATTAAATATTAGAATTTTTATTGTTTATATAACCTTTGTTGATCACAAATTTTGGTAAAAATAATTTTTGGTAGTTGAAGTTGCAATCGTCACTTTAATTTTATCTCATTAAGAGAACTTTTTGTTTTATAAGAAAATATTTTGGATTTTCTTACTATGTAGAAGTATAAATATGTTTTAAGTGTATTTGTTTATATATTTTTAATTACTTATATTAGAATATATATATACCATAATACAAATATTATATCTTTTTAAGAGTTGTATATGCAATTTTCCATCCTTTATTTAACTTACTTCAGACAATATTTTGTTTGATTAGACCAGAGTTTGTGTTTTCTTACAATTATTATTTCTTATTTCTATGATTATCTTATATTAGTATTTACCAAAATACAAACATTATCCATTTAATCTGGAAAGTAGAACAAACCACAAGAAAAAAAGTTGCCTTGTGACCACTGTACCAATGATTGGCAATGGAAAGATGTTTTTCCTTTGTTGAAAAAGAAAACGACGTGCAGATTGATGATGAGCTTGAAAATGAGGATGATGATAATGATGATGATGCTGATGATGATGGCTGCATTAAGGATGAGTTTATCCATTAGAATTCAACTGCGGTTTGCCCTCAGAGAGAGAGGAGGAAAGAACACCATCCGTAATGCAGTGAGAAATGCCGGAAGAAAGTAATACATTCACCTTAAGTAACCCGTAAACACACAGAAGCCCGACCGTAAACCGAAACCAGCAGATAGTTCCGCACATCATTGCAATTGCATCAGGAGCTTAAAGGGGAGGAAAAGGAGTAAAAGGAGTGGGAAATTCGGAGGGAAAACCAAAGACCAAAGACAGACGGGAAATGGAAATGGGCTAAAGGACACGTGTATATCGCTCGTTGCTCTTCATGCAGCTTCATGTTGCAACAACAGTCATGGTCTTGTTGTGGTTACCTTAACCCCATGGTTGTCCTCCGTCGAATATGCATAATAAATCAGGATTGAAGAAGGGAACTCTTTTAAAAAAGAAATATCATTAAAAGTTTATATTTACATATTTGTGCCATCTAAATCCTTAACTAGAATCTCATATATATATTTAGCATCATGGAAGAGATATTCCCTTGGCATAAATGTATAAATATTGAATATCTTAAATACCAAGGTTACTTATTAAATTAAATATTCTAGATTGTGTTTTTGAAAGCCGCAAGGGTTAAAGGTTCACCTTGCATTCCCTTTTGGTTTCGGTTGGTTTTGATTCCAATGCGGGTCTAGGGTGGCCCTGGTCATAGCCACCCTATACCTATACCTATACATATATGTATATATATATAGCTATGGCTATATGTACATGTGAAGGGAAGTTGACTGAAGTTCGGGGAAAGGAGGAGGGGGGGAAAGGACATGGTTTTCATACCAACAAAACAGTTCCGGTTCAGCAGACTCTAAAGTGATTGCGGCGACACAACGGGCGGGCTGGGCTGGACTGACCGGCTTCTGGCCTTCTGGAATCCTTGAATCGTTGAATCCAAAGCCGCCTCCCCGCTTTGCTTAATGGTCAACAATGTGGTCGAGGGATTTCCAACCGATTTTTGGCCTACTCAGACTCGGAAACTCGAAACGAACGCCCATGAAGCACGAATGCCAATGAAATGCCACCATAGAAGGCTGATTGCAAGGACCCATCAAAATTTGTCGTCACAGTTCTTTCGGTTTGTGAAATTAATCAGGCCTCTGGCTTCGGACTTTGGCGTCGTTATTACGTATGGGTTATGTAAGGAGCTCTCATGTTCATGAGATGGGGGGAACCCCAATCCGAACCCAGTTCTCTGAACCACTTTGGCGCCAGTTGATTGTGTTGTGTTTCAATTTGACATAGTTAAACCTGTTCTAAGTAAGCTCTAATCACAGGGGAAAGCTTTTGTATTAAAGCCTTATAATTATATATTTTTAGTCATATATATATATGTATAACTAGTACGGCTAAGTTAAGCTTACATTTATTATAATAAGATCTTTTAAGATGAATGCATATAGATAGACAAAGTACGTTATTATATATTTACAATTTATATGTATTTAATATATAATCATATCAAAGTTATCGTAAACTTTTAAGGGACAAAATTCGGCTTATTGATAAATATAGCATTTATCGTTAAAATATCGATATTATCGATTAATTACCGAAAAAAAATAAATCGATATATTGTTTGATATATCAGACAAAATATATCAAACAATATATCGATTTATTTTTCATGTGCTGCTCTGTTAAATGATCGATTTATAATAGTGCTATCAATTTTGATATATCGATAATTATTACCTTCGCTAAAAAGAGGATAAATCTACCTTTCGTTTGCCATTGTCAAAAATAATTCGCATTTAACTCTAAAAATAACGATATTATTAAAAAGAAAACGCAATATCAAAGAGAATATCAATTTATCGAATGCATATCATTACGTTAAAATATTTTTTTTTTATTTATCGATTGTAAAATATCGATACATTAGCGATATATAGACGTTTTTTGTCTTTTCTTATGGGATAATATTTTTCTTTCTTTTCTAATTGTCAAATATAACTTCTATTAATAAATTGATTGACATAAACTAACTAAAAATATTATATTTCTATATTTTTTGTAGCTGCCAGTACTATGTGAAAAGCCATCCATGGGTGCTGGCCTACCAGGGCGTCATCACATTCTTCGTGCTGGCCAATTTCACGCTGGCCACCTTCATGGACCCGGGCATCATCCCCAAAGGTATGTAGCGTGCTGAGCAGGGACCAGCGCCCTCGTCACGACCTAAACTCTACTGCATTCTAGCCTCGCCCGACGAAGACTGCGAGGAGGAGCTACGCGCCCCGCTCTACAAGAATGCCGAGATCAACGGCATCACCGTCAAGATGAAGTGGTGCGTCACCTGCAAGTTCTACCGCCCGCCACGCTGCTCCCACTGTTCTGTCTGCAATCATTGCATAGAGGTGAGTCCCAATATAGCAATGTGTCTATATTTATATATTGCAAGGGAATACATAAAATAGAAGCCGTATAAAGTCTAGACTCTAGAGGACTATTTGTTGTTTTATATTAATAATAAAATTTGATTTCTTTCAGACCTTTGATCATCATTGTCCGTGGGTCAACAATTGCATTGGCAGGCGAAACTATAGATTCTTTTTCTTCTTCCTCGTCTCACTCTCCATACACATGTTGAGCATATTCTCACTGTGTCTGGTCTATGTGCTGAAGATAATGCCCAATATCAAGGACACGGCGCCCATTGTTGCGTATCCTTTTCACAAAACATAAAACAATGCAATATCTATCTATTATATATTTTTCTTGTCAGTTTTGAGAGTGATATTTACTCTCGAATTTTATAACAATTACAATTCAAATTTGGTTTAGCTTAACTCTATCCGTATATAGCATGATCCTAATGGGCCTGGTGACTATATTGGCCATACCCATCTTCGGTCTGACCGGCTTTCACATGGTGCTAGTGTCACGGGGTCGAACGACCAATGAACAGGTCACTGGAAAGTTCAAGGGCGGCTATAATCCGTTCTCGCGCGGTTGCTGGCACAACTGCTGCTACACACAGTTCGGACCGCAGTATCCCAGGTGAGTTATTTATTTAATGCTGTATATTTTAAACTAATTAAACATCTTTATTGCAGTTTGCTGAACCCGAAGAAGTACACCTCGCGGCGGTCGCAGACGCAGAGTACACCGATTAGCACGATCTGCAACGATCGGAGCAACCAGCAAACGGGCGCCGGAGCGGGCGGTAATGGTACCGCTGCCGTAACCGGCGGACAGGGCGGCGGCGGAAATGGAGCCGGCGGTGGCGGTATGCGAGGCACTGCGGTGCAATATTCGCCACGCTCCCTCTACGACGCGAGTCGCGAGAAGCGCGGAATTCAGGTAAAGACATATATGGCCGAGGGCAATGGTTATAATCAACGGTCGGGCAGCACAACGCTTTACAGTAAGGTGGGTAAACAACAAGATTTCTGCTATAAAAACAATAATAAAAAAAAAAAAAACACAAAAATCATAGAGAAAAGCGAAGCATTTGCTATGCAAAACTCAGATTCCTATTACATATATCTATGTATCCTATATCTATTTGTATCTAATACCCCCAATAGTGTGTGCGAGCAGCAGGTGGCAAAAACCAGCATTTAGACAGAGTCTCTCAACAGAAATGCAAAAGTTTTAACCAAATTAATTGAATAAAATTATTTAAAAGTTCAATTTATTAAAATGATATAGTTTAAAAGGTTGAAATATTTTAATTTTTGAATATAATCAGTTAACTATTCAGATTTAAGTAAAATATGTTGTTGGAATATTCAATATTATAACCATATTTTGCCATATAATTAATAAACTTGCATCTATGCATTTGTAATTGTTGAAATACGCTTCAAAAAGTTGAAAACGAAAGTTTTAAATGCAAGAAAACATTGTAATAAATGATTGGGCCTTATTTTGTATGATTTAAATGTGAATGTTGTAATAATCTAACAGATAAATCTCTTATTTCTTCAGTTTCAATAAGAAACGAATTACATTTGCTATAAATTAAAAAATTCCAGAAAATAGACTACAGTTTTCAACAATTTCCGCTGATCGATCAGCTGGCGCCACCTGTTGTCGTTGTTGATGTTTGTTGTTAGTTGTTATTACCGTTGTTGGCTTAGTTAATGTTGTTGTAATTGTAATTTGTGTTGACTTAACTGTAATTGTAACCGTTAACAGTTGTTTGTTTTTGTTTTTGATTTTGTTTTATCTTCATTTCCCCGTTCTCGCTTAATGTAAACAATATTTCCCCTTTTTGATTACCTTTTTCATCTCTGTCCTCCTGTCGCTCTTTTTCTATATAATTTTGGTTTCATTTGTTGTTTCTCCTTTTCTCGATTTTCGTTTGCTCTTTTCGTATGTTGTATGATTTATCATTTGCTGTAAATCCCATAATAGACCCTCGCCCCCACCAACTAGCCCCCGCTTAATGCTTTGACTAATTAACAACAAAGTCGATATAAATATAAAAATATATACCAAGTATATATAAATATATAGATATATATGGCACATAACATACAGATAGCAAGGAAAAAGAACCTACTTACATATGTAATATGTAAATGGAATTGGAGGGAGTGAGAAATCTCTCAAGTATCTTTGTGTTGTATGTCGATATTGCCCTTATTATTATTATTATTATTACTATTATTGTTACCCTTGTTGTTGTTGCCGTTGACGTTGTTGTGGAATAAAAGTTTTTCCGCTTTTCCCAGCTGTTCCCACACACACACACACACATCCTTCATCTCTCCCTCGCTTTTCCTTTGCACTGCAAAACTTTTCTTTTCTTTTTTTGGCTGCCGCGGCTTCTTTTTCCTCTCTTTTTCATCCGCTGCATTTGCTGTTTTATTATTTTCCCCGAGCTTCTACCGATTTCCCACACACAGGGTGTTGGAAAAGTTAGTTAACTAGTTAGTTAGTTAGTTAGTGAGTGCCACGCCCATTTAAATGAAGGACAAGTAAGCCAAATGATGCACAGCCACAATCACATTTAGTGTAAGTAAAGCTCACTCGAAAGTCCTAACCACTGTCGGCGCGTCCTTGTCTGTAAATACAGTGAAACCTCTGTGGACCAGAATAGTCAGAATAGGAACAATGTATTATATGTTTATATACATACAAAAAATAAATAAATGTTTGTGTTTTTTTTAGCTGCCAAGATATTATTTTTACCTTAACCACAAGTATTTTTGTACAAATTACTTTAACAGAAAAGACTAAAGGATTTTGTTGATATTAAATTTGAGATTAGAAATTATAACAATATTTCAATGTTAATATTGGATTAAAGTAAAGTCCGTCTGGAAGTTTATGTAAATTATAGAGTTTTCAATATATGGATATTAGCTTCATTTGTGTAATTAAATTTTTTTTCTGTATTTTATGGTATTTAATCAAAATTAAATAATACAATACAATAAAAACAAAACTTAACGGAATATTGATATTAGCTGTATTCGATATATTAATTCTATATTAAAATAATCGAGGAAAATAATTAAATGAATTTTGAATATAATGGATATCTAAAACCAAAACTAAAATCGATTTTTATAAAATAATTTCTAAGTAATTCATAAAATTTCGAAGAAAACAAACAAATTCAACTAAGTTTTTAGAAAATAACAAATTTTTCAATGAATTTTACAAATATTTCTGTAAATCTACTACGTTTTCAATATATCGATATATATATTTCGATTAAATTCGATATATTATGTGGTATTAATAAATCGTTTATATTTGAGTTTCTTCTCTTCCAAATTACATAAATATCGAAATGAAAGATATATTGTAATTATTTAATAAAAATATAATTCCTTTGCCCAACAACTCTAACAAAAACCTATTTGTGGTTGCGGATAAAATGTTATATATTTTTTCAATTTAAAAACTGAATATCTCCCTTAGTTTCCCTACTTAGTTTTATTTCTGGAATTTCCGATCGCGTTAACCCTGTAAAACCCATCACTTTGCATGCAGTTTTGGGGCATTATCAGTTTGACGATTTCTCCGCTATTATTTGCGCTATATAAAATTGAATTAATATTTGCCATATTTTTTTTTTGCTATATTTCGTTGACTTGTTTCCTTTCAAATGCTGGGCACCCTTAACCTCTTTTCCGTTTCCGTTTCCGTTGCTGCGTACATATCGTTTGTATATGCTGCCCAGAGCTGTCGTTATATATCAGTATATATTTAAATATATATAAATATATATATATATATATAGAAGTATATAGCATACATACTTATATCGAAAAGAATTGGTCGCATCTCCACAAGAGCAAAAAAAAAAAAACAAAGAACAAAAAAAATGATAAAAGAAAACAAAAGCAAAAACTCTACACTTACTGCAAGCACCGAGAAAGGTAAAAGATATCTTTAAAATCGAAAAAAAAGTAAAATAAACCTTAAAAAACTACCTAAATTATTTATAATTTTATGGTTCCTTTATTGACTGAGATTGATTGATTGCCCTGAAGATTTGATTTCTTTTCAATTTGTGATCCCATTATGATTTACAACTCGAAAATTGTGTCTTTCCACCGATATTTATTCTCCCTTCTTTGCCCCTTTCTTGTTCTATCTTTCTGTCACTTTTAACTAATTCGAATGATTAAAAATTAATGGAAATTATTTAATTAGCACTTTTTTTTGGCAAGAATAATAATATATATTTTTAAACAATTTCTAAGGTTGCCACACACATATTAAGTATATTCTTTTGAAACTTTCAAGAAAAGCCGTTTCCACGTCTCACATTTTTGTTATTATTTAACAAAAATTAATGTTTTGCAGTGCTTTCAGCTCCTTGTTTCCTTGTTTACCATCTCCATTTTCCACTTTTCCACTCTGTTTTCTTTCCTGGCTGATTCTGAATTCTAAAGTTAATTACTCTGCGGAAAGTGCTTTCTTCCACTCAAAGGACACAGCCTGCATAAGGCTAAAAATAAATCAGGGGGCACCCCACTCTTTTTCCATTTCCCTCAATAAAATACAAATAGATTTATTGAAATAAAGTTTAATAAATAAAATACAACCCACCTACATACATATCCTTCTTATTTGTCTTAATTTATGTTCGTTTTCTGTCTCATTTCGATACTTTCTTTCAGGGGATGTGATCGATTTCAATGATGAGAATTAAATATTAATGATTCTAGATGTTGTCCTAGTTGAATTCTCTCTCCTTTTCATAGTAATATCAATATATAAATAACTCCTTGAATGATATCTTTGGATTGAAACTAATTTCACTTCATTAAAATATGTTGTTGTTTTTTAATTCTATTTATTGAAATCGATTAATCTCTCTCTATCTTATGTTTTTCCCCTTTTCGTCCTTGTTTGTTACATTTTTTTTGTTTTGGAAATTATATTGCAACTAAATATAGGCCTAAGTCTGTGTCGATCTCGTTCCTTACCCCCACTTAAGTGCCTGTCAATCGATGACTAATTACACATTTTACTTTAACCCAATACCTTCCACAGCTCTCGCCGGGACGTGAGTGCTCCGACACGGACCTGGAACCGCCACCCGCCTCCCAGAGCCAAGACTGTGAACCGACGCCGCCGCTGCAGCGCCACAATTCGACCAGTTTCTACCTGCCGCAGGTTAGCGATTCCGGCGGACTAAATGGCAGTATTTCCACGGGCGGAGGAGCCGGCGGTGGTGGTGGTGGTGGTGGCGGCGGTGGTGGAGGCGACTCCCCGCGTCACATACGGCTCTACCATCCGCGTCACAGTCCGCACGCGAGGCCCAGGTGAGCTAATTAACCCCATTATCATCATATATTTAATGCGGCTATTAATGGGTGGATACGAAGAGTATCTCAAAGGTTTCCCAGAGACTTTTCCTAAGCCATTAAATAACGTGAAAATTAATTGGGTAAAGAAAAGGATATATGGGCTAATGGGTGCACTTTATTGTAGAATAACTCCTTACCTTCTTATGATGTGCAAAATATATTTTCATTATACATTTTCACTCGTGAATGTTGCTCAACTGGTTTCTAGCAACATTTACCTTCATTTGGATGTTGCTAAGCATGTTTCTGGCAACATTTCGTTTATTATTTGCCTTTAGCACTGTTTAATTTAAGTTTTTTTTATAAATTTGGACATATTTAAACAAAGGGAATTAGCCATGTGCTTTGGGTACCGGGTATGCCAATAGATCTTTATAATTTTCACTCATGGATGTTGCGCAACAGGTTTCTAGCAACATTTATCTTCATTTGGATGTTGCTAAGCATGTTTCTGGCAACGTTTCATCCTATATTTGCCTTTAGCACTGTTTAATTTAAGTTTTTTCATAAATTTAAGAATAATTAAAGAAAGTGAATTAGCCAAGTGCTTTTGGGTACCGAGTATGCCAATAGATCTTTATACATCTTTACTCAGGGATATTGCTCAGCAGGTTCTTGGCAACATTTATATTCATTTAGATGTTGCTAAGCATGTTTCTGGCAATATTTCTTCCATTATTTGCCTTAGGCACTGTTTAATTAAAGTTTTTAGTAAATTAAGTATAATTAGGCAAAGGGAATTAGCCATGTGCTTTGGGTACCGAGTATGCCAATAGATCTTCATACATCTTCACTCATGGCTGAACAGGTCTCTATCAACATTAAAGTACATTTAGATGTTGCTAAACATGTTCCTGGCAACATTTCTTCTACTATTTTCCTTCAGCACTGTTTAATTTAAGTTTTTAATAAATTTAAACATAATTAAACAAAGGGAATTAGCCATGTGCTTTGGGTACCGGGTATGCTATGATTATGCTTCAAATATAACCTTTTAGCTTGGTTATCTTAAAAATAATAGTCTTTAAAACCTTGAAAACTCTTTACTACCGTCATAAATTAATCCCATAATACATTTGCTATCCTCTCAGGGGTCTGGATCCGCAGCGTGGCTATACGAGCGATGCCCTTTCGCCGGATCATCCTGTTCCCGTTGGCTACAGTGTCGTCGGTGTCAATGGATCGCAGCAGCAGCAGCAGCAACAGGCTTTGGCAGCGGCAGCAGCAGCGGCGGCGGTGGCAGCACAAAATCAACGCAGCGCCGCGACCACAGCCACGCCTACCATGCAGCAAAGGATCAAGCCGCTGGGAGTGGCCACGCCCCTGGTGATGGCGAGTCCAGTGCGAAGGTGAGTGTGTATCCTTAGCCTTAAATGTATGATGCGACACCTCCTTGTCATGATGGCATCCCCATCCATACTTCTGTGCGCTCTCCTCCCCCGCTGTTGTTATTTTGTTCTTGATGTTGATGTTGATGTTTTCCGCTTCCGTAGCACCTTTTAACCCCCTTCGAGTGAGTCCGGATTTAGTGCGGTATTATATTGTCATTCAAACGCTTTGTGGGCTAAACCTTAGGAGGGTATATAATAAGGATATATTTTATATAAATTGCTAAGAAAGGCAAATGATTTGAGTCCATTTATGGTTAGAGTGCACTGTTTTTTTATTTATTGCATAGAAATTAAAGATTTTTAAAATGAATAAATAAAATAAGACTCATTTTAGACTTCAGTTTATCTCAAATATCCCAAAATGTATATTAAATATCGAAAATATCGATTTATCAATACTATCTCGATATTTTGCGTTATTAATCAATCTTTTAGCATAGAGATGTATCAGTGATAAATATAGAGACAGTAATGATAAGTCAATAAATATATATTCTGTTATATATGTATATATATAATTATATATGTATAATTATTATCGCTATGCTAAAAGATTGATTAATAACGCAAAATACAGTATTGATAATTCAATATTTAATTATATATATATAATTATTTAAATAAAACAATATTTATATATAAACGAATATTCATTATATATGTATTTATATAGTATTTTTATAGTTTTTACTAATATTGAGATAACGTTGATTACGATGTTTTCGATATTTAAAATTTCGATAAATTCAAGTTATATCATATTGAACTTTATTATATAGAACTTCTTTTTATTTTCCATTCGATTATTTTATATATTTATTTTATATTTTTTATATATATTTTTATATATTTTAGAGGTAGCAAATTCTTGGATAAAAATCATATTGAATTGTTCATCGATATAAATATTTCTTGCTTATTTAAAGTTCATTATAGTTTTCCAAACAATAAGAATCCCCATATTTATTGTAATATAATCTATAAACTTGGCATTCATTTATGACATTTCTGATCCTTATAAAGTTAAGCCATTTAGAATGAGTGTTTTCCGGAATGTGTGAGCTTTAGTTTAGTGCCTGTTCCTAATTGTTTTTGTTGTTTTTATCAATAATTTCTCTCACCTTTAGTTTAGCTTGTTGAATGTTTTGCTGCTTGGCCACCTTGCGTCAGGTGCTTTCCCGCTTTCTCTATGTCCATCCTTGAGGTCATTTTGAATGTCTCCAATTGATGGGTAATCAAGTGGAAATATCAACAGCCTTGGAATTGTGGTCAATAAATCATATTGAGTCCATATTAGCGACTGTTTAGTAATGAAAAAAAGCAAGTAGGCTAGAAATCCACCTCGAATCAGAAAGAGATGGCTTGATGGAGAAGGGGTCAATAACCTGGCTTCTGTTTTCTTTCCTCGTTGCACTTTGCCGCCTTTTATCCTTCATCCAAAGAAGCACTGGTTAGGAGGTAGTCTTCTCATTATGGTTTAGCTCCTTTTCTCCTTCATGATTTATCTGTATCCATACACACACACCCCACTCAAACACACACACACACCTTATGAACTAATTAATTATTATATATTTTTCCCACCTTTTCTTTTTTCCTTTTTTTTAATACGTGATCCTATATTATTTTGGTCGATGCTTAGTCAATACTCAAATTCTGAGAACAGTACTAATTCCTAGACTTAGCTTTAAAAAAGAAAAGAACGAAAGACCAAATTAAACCGAAAGTCCAATAACAAAACAATGAAAACCCAAGAAACAAAACTAAAAGCAATACGAATAAGTGTTAAGTAATTAATAAATCGAGAGAAATAAATAAAGATTAAGACGATATATCGTAGGTAAAATTATAATTAAGTTTTAAGCCCGACAAGGATCAAATGTTATCGAAATGCAGAGGGGGAGCCGTCTCTTTTTTCCGCTCGTTCCCCACTCCACTCTTCGCTCCTTTCCGCCTGAACTCTACATAACCAGAACTGGAAGTCCTCTAGAGTCCTTCGAACCGCAAATACTGAATGTCCGCGTAAACGTGAATCCGAATACAGTGTAGAAATTCTACTAAGCACCTTCTTCTAATTTCTTTCTGCCGCGCGAGGTGAGTTTGATTTCATTTCTTTCTTTTAAAATTTCTTTTCGTTCCGCTTTCATACTTCCGTTCTTTAAGCGTTTTTCGTTTCGTTCATTTTCTTCTCTTGGTTGCCGTTTTTGTTTTGCGTCCGCCTTAACCCTTTTTTCACACACATATTTGCCCATTTAACCAGCGGTTTAGGTAGATCGACTCCCTCCATTTCTCCATTCAGCGGCATCCTCTAATCTCTATTGTTGTCTCTCGAATCTAATGGTATGGTCTTCATAAATAACTGCATTTCGAAATTTCATTTCAACTGTCCGTTAGGTTAACAGGAGGATAACAGGAGGTTAACGTTGGCTTTGATAGTATCGATCTATTAAGTACACCAGCATTTATAAAACTTTTAGCTTTAAAGAGTTTGAAAGGAAAAGCCTAAGACTCTGGACCATGTTTCTATCGATTTATTATCTACAAATCCCATATTGATTAATCAGACGATATAAATAAATTAAATGTTTCCGTTACGTTAAGCAAAGTTAATTCTTAATCATATTATTAGAAATTGAACAGGTTTTATCGATTTATTATTTAAATATCTCAATTCGCTTAATCGGTAGATACATAAAAAATAAATGTGTCATTTATGTGTCCGTCAAATTGACAGGAGGTAAAATTTGAAGAGCCATCAATGCAAAAACCCATAAGTTTATTATCGATTTAACCGGTTTTACCAAATTTATTATCTAAAAATTCTATATCTATATTCTAAATGAGAGATAATATTAAAAGTGTCTTTTAAAGAAGGTTGAGTTTCACTTTAAAGTCTCTGCAAGGCAAATTTCTACAAATTTAAATAAAATATATATTGACCTTTTTCAATTGCTTTTTTTTAAATCCCGTATTGATTATTTGATAGATATAAAAATTCCAATATATCTGGAGTGTATCCGTTAAATTAACTGCAGTTAAATGTTAATATCTCTGAAAGGCAATTTCTTGCAGTTCTTAATCATATTATTAACGATTAAGTATCTAAAAGTCTGATATCGATTAATCGAACTATAAAAACGAGGTACGGTGAATCGATATTTCTCATTTTAAATTAAATTTTATTGAGGATCCAAGTAATCGGGTCGAGCTTTCAAAACTGACAAACGACATGTGTCAGGGACATACTTTCTATTCAGTCATATACATCAGGCGAAATTCAACGTGTTGAGCTCTCTGAAAAGAAACGTTTGGAAACAGAGGAAAATCATATAAATTTTGGTATCCTTTTCTTAATTTTCGGCATTCGTCGGCATTATCCCTTCTTCTTGTGACTTTAGTTTGTCAATAACCAAACGAAATCGGACATTAACCGAGGAAGGTTCAATACTATCGCAGAGAGCTCCAAGAATTAAAACAAACAGACAAAGGCCAGGCAATCGGAGAAAGAGATCTATATATATTTTTATGTAAATGCAAAAGAACTCGAGGGAATATAGAAATTTATAAAATTTCTTGTGAGTAAATTCCACCACTGACGACAATGAGCACATTGTTGCGTCCAGATCAAAGTCACGAGAAGAGGGGCAGCAACAGCAGCCTCACGATTCCTGGACGTCCGCCGGACCGGCAAAAGCCATTGAACCTGTTGGGAAAAACACTGCCCATACCTGTTGCAACACCGCCAGAGTTGCGCACACGCCGCCAATTCGTTTTTAATGGCATGCGGTATGAGACCAATGGTTTGTGGCCCTCAACACAGCAGCAGCAACAGAAGCAGCAACAGCTGCAACAGCAGCAACATCGGCAGCAGCAGCAATATCAACAACAACAGCAGAAGCAGCGGCAACAGCAACGACAGGAGCCCCTTTTTAGGATGTCAGGTGGTGCTAACGGATCCGGCGGAGGTCATTTTGCCTCTCGAGAGCAACGGATGCGGGGTGGCACCAATACCATCAATAGCACCATCATTGACACCATGGGTACCTATGAGAATGCTGGCGGTGATAATGGTCTACGTTTAGATCAAAAGAAGACGGTTCCGCCCAAAAGATTGAACCGTGACACCGCTTTGCCGATAAATAGCAGCGCAAGAATGCCAGTGATCACGTTGAACAGGTGCAGCAGTGAGATGCAAATGAAGTCATCGGCCAGGACAAAGTATATGCCAGCAGGCGTAGCTGAAGCGGGAACACGATTATCGAAAGCTGTCAAATATTCCAGTCGAACGAAAGTCCAAGAGGAGTTGGACGATGAAGTGTATCCGGATCAAGATGAGGAACATTTGGGCAAGGTTCGAAAGCGATACCCCAGCAACCAGCAGCCGAGTACTCCAAAGCCTCCCATCGAGGAGTATGGTGCCAAGCAACGCTTGATGTTTGCCCAATCGATGATGAAGGAAGCTCGCAATGGAAGTGGCAGCGGAGGCGGCACTCTCATTGACCAGCATCCGCCGTCCATGGTCATCCCGGGCATCGGCGGTGCAATGCCCTCCAAGATGGACTACATAACGTTGGCCGGCCTGGTCCTTGGCTGCATTGCCTCGCATGCCCTCTACTTCCTTTGCTGGTACTTCAGTTGGCTGAAGAATCAGGTGGTGGGTCTGCGGAAGCGCTTTCTCGGTCACGCGAATCTCTGGGATTTCTTCGACCTGGACGACACTTCTCGATATTCGGTGCAGACGAAGCTGCTCCTGGTCCCGCTGATCATTGCCGGTGCGTTGCTCTACTGCGTGGTCAACATGCTGCACATGCTGGTCCAAGTGGTGCGCTCGGATGTGCCGCGCACAGTGGTTGTGTTTGTGCAGCGAGTGGTGAACAGTGGACTCCTGGGCACCATCACCATGGGCCTGGGTGGCGGTGGCGTTGGTGCATTCAGGCGGCCTCAATAGCGTCTGAATTCCGAGGCGCCATCCATCGTGTCTATTCCCGATCTATATCAAAAGCAACTCCAAGGGTCGGTTGGCGGCTTCAAAAAATCAATAAAAATATTAAACAATTAAATAATCATTTAATTTATGATGTCAACTTGGGGCATAGATTGTTGGTTAATTATTTACACGCCAATCTTGAGATATTTATTAGTTATAGTTGTCATTATAAAATGTTGATAATACAAATACATCGATAGGAATTGATATAAAACAAATCCATTCAAATATATCGAAATTGATTATCGGTAAGAGTTTATTCACGAATTCTTTATAAGAATGGTAATAAAAGAAACTACATTTTACGCAAATAATATCTAATTAAAAATAAACCTTAACCCATTAAATTTACAACATAATCTTAAATGTAAAAAGCATTATTTATGTTTGCCATAACCTAACCGAAGAATACGGTGCAAGTACAGTCTGCAAAACTTATTTTAGTGTCGATAACTTACTCGATAACTGAGTGTCCCCATTTCTAACTCTACTCAAACTGTGTGTGTGGTTCTAAACCCTGTTTTAACGTTCGTTTTTCTGGTTGCAAGGAGGCCATAATCTTTACATCTTCTCACATTATATTTACTCGCTGTTGCTCGCTCATTTATCGATCGAAATCGTCTGTTTAACCATCGGTTAACCAAAGCTGTTAAGTTCTAACATTCAGGCGTTAATGCTGCAGCAGCTTGCTCTCTCGGCATGCTTTAAAACATCTATGAATTTAATTATTACTAATCTCTGAATAATATATCCCCTGCAGATCGAACCCGGGCACGCCCACCCAGCCGAGACGTCCCGACTTTATCGGTCTCAATGCCCAGGCGGTGGCCCAGCAGCAGCAACAGGTGGCAGCGGCAGCGGCGGCGGCCTACTATGAATACACAACCGGCCTGCCGCCGCAGCATCCGCAGGCGCCCAGCATTCAGCAGCAGCAGCAGCAATTGCTCTTCCAGCAGCAGCGCGTTCTCATGCAGCATCAGCAGCAGCAGCAAGGTGAGTATCACTGGTTAGATCCTTCGAGAAATATATAATAGTATATTCTTTCCCTTTCCCCATCCAGCTCTGCAACAGCAACAGCAGCAGCAGGCAGTGGCGGTACATGCAGCGCATCCGCAGCACGCCGCTCTGGCACAGGCCGCTTATGGCGGCAGTCCGCAGCGGCGCTTCCTCTCCGAGGGTGAACTGGTCCGCCAGGGAGCCGGCGGCGGTGGTGTTGCCGGTGGCGGTGAACTGTCCTATGCGAGGTCTAACAACACGGTGGATAACATACGAGAGCTGGCCGGTAGTCCGCAGCGTGGCGTCTACATGTGGAAGGACACATCGCCCGGATTTACCAGCTCCGCTGGACAGCAACAGCAGCAACAGGTGGTCAGCAGCAGCGGCATTGGCAGTAGTGCTGGCACGCTGTCGAGCAGTGGAACCTCCGCCGGTGGCGTTATGCCGCATGCCCAGTACATAACGGCGGGTGGTGGTGCCCATCCACTGATTATGACGCACTCGCGCCTGCAGGACTACGCCATCCAGCAGCAGCAACAGCAACAGCAGCAGCAGCAGCAACAACAGGCTGCAGCGGCGGCAGCAGCAGCAGCAGCGGCGGCAGCCTCATATCATCGCTCCAATCCGACGAGTCCCACCACCATGCCACAAGTGTCGGGAGCGGGACAGAGCTACATAATGCGCTACGGCGGTGGAGCTGGAACGGCAGGCAGCAGTGGCAGCTTGGCTAGCGTGACAGGCAGTAGTAATCCATCCACGGGAGGAGGCGTTGGCGGTGGCGGAGGAGGAGGAGGAGGAGGATATCAACCCGCTCTACGCGGCGGTGTGGCTGTGTTTCCACCCAATCCCAATTCGGGGGTTGGTAATCTTCAGACGCAACCCTCGCCACAGATCAAGCGAAAACAGACGCCAACGCGTCCCATGAGCTTTGTGCGAGCCCTGGAGATGACCGACTCCATGGAGATGCAATCGCTGGAACAGCAACAGCAGCAGAACGGTGGAGTGGCAAGCAATCAGCAGGCGGCGGGCCTAATGCAGAACAACTCCAACTCGAACTCAGGTACGCCGGATAGGGCCAGCATCTATGACATGAACTATGAGATCTCTGTATAACCCGTGGTGGTGCCCGTGCTCCTGATGCCGCCTGCCAGTCAAAATCTACCGGCAGCAGTCACAACTGCCCCAGTCGCTGCATCTCAGCCGGGACATTTGTACAATCCGCAGCTGGAGCCAGCTGCCTATGCCTCCGTTCCCGTATTGCCACTGAAGCCAATGAGCAATGGCATAGGTATCAATAGCCATCAGCATCAGCAGCAGCATCATCATCCGCAGCAGCAGCAGCAGCAGCACCTTCACCATCCGCACCACCAGAACCAGAACCAGAATCAGAATCAGAACAAACGCAAGTTTTCAACCTTCTTCTAGGGACTAGGATTGATTGATTGATTGATTAATTGCGGTTGAGACAATTATTTACGCGAGTTGAATGTGTATATAATGATTAGGTAGCTCCCCTCACCCACTTCCCAGTTGTGCTGTTGCTATTTTCTTTTTAAGTAATTTTATTATGTAATTTTTATGCCCTTTTGTTTTAACATGTTTTTACTATACCTTTTTTTATTATTTTTTTATCCCCCCTTTTAAACCAAAATTATTGAATTTTTATATATTTGGTAAAAAAAAAACGAAAACAAAAATACGAAAATTTGAATGAAGAAACGAGAAAAAATAAGGAAATTGAGAAATTGAAAATTGGACGAGTACAGTGCGTTTCATTTGGCTTCTCGACATCTGAAGACGCAGAACGATCCAAAACAAAAAAAACCGACGCTATATCTAATATAAAAGTATATATAGTACACCATAGGGATGGCAACAATTATCGGTTTAGCGATAACATAAATCGATCTTTTATCCTTGCGATATATGTGCGTAAAAATTGATATTCTGTTTGATATATCGGACCAATATAATCGAAAAAGAGACGATTTTGTATATCGATAATTTCAACAATTAAATAAATTAAATAATATTTTTCCATTTTATAGATATTTTTAACTTTAAATTTTATAAATACTATTTTAATATGATATTGATCACAATATTTATTTTGATATATCACATCGGTCTCTTTCTCTTTCGATATACATCCCTAGTACACACAAAACAAGAACATATATGGAAACCCTTTGCAATCAACTTGAAAATTGCCAAAACAAAAAAAGAAAGATAAGAAAAGATTTGTAAGACAGCAAATATACAAAAAAAATTAATATAAAATAATGTAATGTATGTGTGTGTGTGTGTGCCGTGTGCTTGCGTGTGTCTGTGCTTTAACCATTAGTCCATAAATTTATATAACTATTTATGCCATATATTATGTATATATATATATATATATATATATATAGGAGGTGCAGAGAACATTTTTTGTCATTTGTGTATATAGATGTGAGGCGAAGGTCATGATGGAGCAGAGGAGTAACCGTTTTGTGCTTAGAATACAGAGATTATATGTTATATAATTAAATCGTAACGAGAGATATCAATATCTGTAAATAAAATCCCCTCAATTTTTTTTTTTACTATTTAATAACAACATACCTCCCAGTCCTCTCTCTGCATTTCCTGTCCATAAGTCCAATGATCCAAAAGAGGGATATATCGTGAGCACACGCTTTATTTTATTTTAATATTTATTTTCCAGAAGTGAGATTCCTTTATGTTTTCGTCGCAAGTCAGAGAAGAAACCTTTAATCTCTGGATTTGAGATTGGATTTCCTCTGTCCGAGCAACCACTTGAATGTCGTCCAAATGTCCTGTCTATAAGTGTAAATGTTTAGGGAAGATAGAGGGAGAGTTCCTCTCCATCCTTAGTATGTGCGTATCCGGATTAGCTCCAACTTTGTTGTTATGTTTTTAAGATTGAACTTAGCTTTTATAACGAATTCCCCAAAAAAAAATCCCCGTGTGTGTGCTTTAGATCAATTTAACATTGCACATTCTTGTTTTCCTTTTTTTTTCTTCCCATAATTTAATTTCTGTACTAAAAAGAAACGCATATATGGCAAAATTTCTAGAGACATAATATATTTGCTGTAAACAAGAGAGAATTATACATGTGTAAGAGATCGATCAGTCCCCGCCCAGTCCGACCCTAGGCCCCATGAGAATCACAGCAAGAATCAACCACAACTTGTATAGAGACTATGCCAGTAAGGTGTGCGAAATAAGTGCTGGCACAGTCACTTCTAGTTCCCCTCGCCCCCTAGCAGCATTTTTATATCCAGTCATCCATTAGGTTTTTATGGGAATTTAAAGTAAATAATAGATATATTACGCAGGTATGCCAAAAATACGAATACGATCCATTTACATTGTAAATCTTAAATTTAAATTAATTGCTGGATCTTGAGAGTGAGCACAGTCGCTGTGCCAGCTATTCATTTCGCACACCTTATACACATATAACACGGATCAAGAGTATATATATATATATAGAGTATATACGTATATTTAAGCGTTTTTTGCTAACACACATTAATTCATGAATTTGCAACAATATATATTTAATATAAATACAAAAAGCATCAAGAATGGAAATTAAAAACGAAAAATGTAATGTGTAAATGTAACAAAAAAAAAAAAATTAAAATACGGATGAAAAAGAACGAATTGTTTTAGATTTTTATACCAAAATTTAATTAGTGTAAAAGCCCACAAATTGTTTATCTTTTTGTATTCCCCTCCTCTGCATCCTGCCCTTCCCTCCCGCCCTCCTTCCCTGCCCGCAAGAATAAGTGAAGCGTAATCGAAGACTCGGGGAGAAGGCCCAGAAGGATGAGAGCGATCCTCGGGCCTTCCTCGGAGCTCATAAATGGTTTTTTTTTGTATTGAATACTTATGTAATTTGTAAATTATATGACAAGTAATCAAATAGCAAGCATAAACAGCAAGGCAATTAATAAACAATACAAATAAAAATGCAAGAGTCGTATTACTTTAAAGGGATATCTTGGGATCTATAATAATATTTAAGTAAACCCGTTCTCTTGAAAATTATTTCTGGTTTATTTGTAACTGTACACATCGGTTTCGAATACAAGACTCAATTCTGGCTTAATTGATGCTAAATATAGACTAAAATTGGAATTATCAACATTAAATTCAACAGATAGACTTAAAATCTAAACATGTTGATCCTTTCGGAGGATCTAAAAATTGCACTAGGTTACAGCAGTGACGAGGTGAATATCTGCTGCAGGATGTGAGGTAGCTTGGTGAGGTCCATGCAGACAAAGCTCTGGCCAGCCGGCATTGCTGCATTGATTCTGTCGAAGAAAAGTAGGTGAATTAGATTTTAATTTTAAATACTTATACTTTCAGTTTAACTTACTCTTCCGCCTCCTCGGCCAAGCTGCCTATGAAGATGGCATAACCCTTGACCTTTGGTTCGCCCCGCTTGAGGGCTATGGCCAGATCCTTGGGTGCAATGCCATACCGCGATAAATTCGCATCGCTCAGCACCACCGCGATGGCATTATCATAGTCCTGCTCGGCGCTCAGCGTGGAGCAGGCCTCGCGTGCTGCCTTAACCGTGGAATCGCCGGACCAACAGAACTGTGAATGGGCATGCATCATGCGGATGGCCTCGAAGCGCTCCTTGTCGTTCTTTGGCGGACTGCCGGCCGTCACGAAGGGAATCTCCCAGCCCTCGCCACTATGGCCAACAATGTCGTACACGATCTTCTTCTCGAAGCCATCGAAGGCCTCCATAACCATTACGACCGCCTCCAGTTGCCGGTCCAGCCGGCCGTCGTAGCCATTGAATCTGGGAAAGAGGGGAGAGTCACAAGGTTACTATCCCTTAAGGTGGAATCCATGTAAAGATCACTCACCTGTACATAGAGCCCGACACATCCACGACCAGCTTTAGCCGATTGGGTTTCTCCTGTACGTGATCCGCCCAGGGATTGGCCTCTGCCCGCCTGCGGTAGATATTCTTCTCGCCGGTAATGCCCTCCACCAGACGCGTATCATCGAGGTCGCCATGGGTCTGGTACTTTTGCCACTGACGCTCTTTGCTCTTGGTCTGCATGGCCTCCAGAATGGCCTTTAGCTGCTGCACCTGCTTGCGATTGGGCTCACTGAACTGGGCATACAGCTTGTGATCGTGGGCAGACATCTTGATCTCCTTAAGCTTCTCCTCGAAGGCCTTGCGATTCATCTCCCTGGCCGCCTTCTTGATCTCCTCGGGCACATCGGCCTTCTCCTCGTCGCTCAACTGGTGAACCTTGTGGCCCTTGTCCAGGCGAAAGGGTCCGCCCTTGCCACCCAGTCCGGCAGTGTCGCGACCGCCACTGCCACCTGCCCACGTATTGCCACCGACATGGGGTTCGTTCTTGGGATCCAGTTTACCGAACTTCGGCCCCGAAACCCCAAGGCCGCTGTGCCGCTTGACGGACGCCTGGAGCGTCTTTTGCCTTCGCATGGCCTGGATCATTTCCTCCTCGGCGTAGGATTCGATGCCGTGCTTGGCCAGCACTTGGTTAACTTGCTGCAGGGCTTCCGGCTGGTAGCGGTCAAAGTCGAGGACATTGCCCACCACTTCGGACATGTTCTCCTCCGGATAACGCTCCAGATGCTTCACAATACTCACTACTTCGCGCGTGGAGTATGGATAGTTAAGCAATCCCTCGTCGGCCAACGTTCGTAGCTCCCCAAAGGCATTTACCAGGGTGCGCAGTGTTTTCTTGGGCACATTTGGTCCATACTGTTGCAGCAGGAAGATCTCAGAGTCCGGATCGGGATTGCTGATGGCATGACAGCTGAAGACATCACCCAGGGCGGCAAAGAAATCGTTGCCGAGGAAGGGGAAGCCGGGACGATTGGCCAAGACGATGAGCCGGAAATCTGGGTGTGTCTCAATTGAGTTGGGGACCCTTCCACCGGCTCCGGGCGGCACAATTCTCCGGCCATCCGCTAGGACCATCTCCCCGCTCTCCACCAGAGTGCGCAGTATGCAGGTGACATTGACGGGCGCCTTGTCGGCCTCATCCACGACGAGTACGTGACCAGAACGAACGGCCTGAACCAGGGCGCTGTCCTCATACGACACCTGGCCATCCTTGAGCGTCGCCTGGAGGGTCAGACTGTGAACTGTGGTGTCTCTGTGCAGCTGGATGTACTCCCTCGGACGCTGCATTAGCTCCAAAAGACGATCCACCAGCTTGTTCTTGCCCACGCCCTGGTTGCCCACCAGCAGCAGGTGCTCTCCGATGAGGTAGTCCTGCAGCAGGCGCTCCAGCAATTGCACATGCTGTGGCATCTCGTAGAACAGCGTGCTGGGTACCTTGGATAGTTGGGCCTCCGTGGGATTGCCAAGAGGCCAGCGTGTGGCACCAATTCTCAGGTTGTTGTCCTCCACTGCTATTTGAGTTTCCTGTGCCTGTCGACTACTCTTCCTCCTTGCCTGGTTGTCCACCTTGATGCCCACCTGGTGGATGGCTTCTTCCAGGGCACTACGTGACAGCGCCGGCATAAATCTGGCCAGGAATGTGTTCTGCAGCATTTCGTGGACATCACTAGACTCACTTAGCTGCGGATAGGCAGCCAGCCGGCGTCCTAGCTTCAGTAACTGTCTCGTCGAGAGCGTTCCCGACATGCCCTGCAGGAGGGGATCCTGCGATGAGCGCAGGAGCTGAGCTAGCTTCAGGAGAGGCTCCAGACCGGCGGGCAACTCACCGTTGCCGCCACAGAGTTCGGTTAGCAGCGCCTGCTCTTCGCTCTGGCGAAGCGGACGCAGCTCCTGGTAGAGGAACAGGCTGAGCAACTCCGGTGTGAGCCAATTCGGTTGACTGCCTCCGCCGCCAGGACGTGGTGGTTCTGCCAACGCCACAATACGGAAGGACTCGTGCATGGGCAGGAAGCCCCGTTCGGTGAGCTCCTTCTCCGAAAGCCCTTGCTGGATCAAAGCCTGATAGCGTTGAGCACCCAGCAGCGTGGTGCCATCGCACAGCTGCAGCTCCCGATCGTGGATGAGGCTAAGAGGAAGAGGAGAGGATAATAGCTAAGCATAATTCGAGGAATACCCACACTCACCGCTGCAGCACGCTGGCCGTGCTCTTGTGGAGACGATGCAGGCCATTTAGCACTGCCACGGAACCCGACTTGGCGGCCCGCACCAGAGGAGAATCACGCCACACGGTGTCGCCAGCGGGACTCGTGATGCGCTGCTGCACAAGATCTCGACTGGTCATATCCTCGTAGAGCATCATGGGCTCTGCGCTTTGCCGTAGCAGGCGGATGAGCTCCTTGGTCAGGGTCAGCTTGCCAACTCCCTTCTCGCCCAGGAGACACACGTCGCCGACGGCATAGGCTTGAAGCAGACTGGCCAAGGCCTGTCTCTGGTGCGGCAGATCCACAAAGTTAGTGGCAATCGGTGTCTGTCCTCCTCCCGGCAGTTTCAGTTCCAGGCCATCGTCCAATTGCAGAAGGATGCGGGAGTTCTCGTCCGATTTACTGACGATTTTGTTGATGCTTTGGCTGGAAATCAATGGGATATCCAGCTTCTTGAGCAGCTCCTCCACTCGTTTTCTTTGGTCCGTCTTTAGCATCGCCTGATATGGATATATGCGGCAGATGACATCGTGCAAGCTCAGCGCCGGGTTCGTCTCCAGCATCTTCACGCCCAAGAGAAGGTTGTGGAGTGGAAAGTCTGGCAGCTGGAGCGACGGATCCGCTTGCTGCAGCGTCAGGGCAAAAGTAAGTAGTGGCTTCAACTGTTCGCCGGGCACACCAGGTGCCTCCTGCTGTAGTTCCTCGTACATCTCGCCATAGGTGTAGGCGGTTACGTTACGTGACTGAAACCGGGACCGGAGTGGCGGATCCAGCGGCGTACCCTTATACTTGTGCGTGGGCAGGCCTAAGGCCACCACCCGGAACTGTTCAGAGACGCGTAGAAGGCCCCAATCGTCCAGCTGCTGGCGGGAGTGCTTCTCCAGGAGCTTGTCATACCGCTCGGGTGACATTAGGAACTTGCCGCTCTCCAGGTGCATCTCACGATTCTCCAGCAGATTGTTCAATATGGGCAGCACATTCCGTTCGGCATGCTCCACACCGTCCAGGACCAGGACACGGCCATTGAGCGCCGCCCGTACGGCGCCCTGATCGTGATAGACAGCCGCTTTGTTGTGGATCTCGCGACGCTGCTTCAGGTCACTCTCGGTGGTGTCCCGGCTGAGGGCCACGTACTCTACCTCGCGCTGCGTCAGTTCCAGGAACTGCATGGCCAGCTGCCTTCGCCGCGGACCCGGCTGTCCCAGCAAGAACATGTCCTGGCGCAGGGCATCTTTCTGCAGCATCCAGCGGAGATGATGCAGGGCGGACTGCGTCAGCTGGAGAGTGCCATCGGGAGCGTATTTAACTAGGGCATAGAATGGATGAAGCAGGGGTTAAGTTGGGGAGAACGAAGTTTAGAATAAATAGATATTCTTATAGATCAAAATCTGTGGACTCGACCTTTGTACTGCTGCCAGATCTCATTTTAGATCATGTATCCTCTTACCGTACTGCTGTGGCACTAGCTGCGGATCCTTGGGCCTGCTCAGTCGCACCGTCACATCACCAATTGTCAGGCTGTCGCCGTCGCCATCCTTGTCGGCCGCAGTGCTCGCCCAGCTTCGCCGCCAAGTCCTGCTGCCGCTTTGGAGGCTGTGACGCAACAAGTGGCCGCTGCGGCCGTGAAGATTTGCCAACATATCGAAAAGTCAGCGGGACTGGTTAGGGGTTGGGGGATGGGCTAGTGCAACGGGAATCGACTGGCTAAGTACCCGGACAAGTGGCGTATTATTCGGATTTATATATGCTTGAAACGGCGGTGGCCCGCGCGTGTTTACCACAACAGTGCTGCCCAGCAAGCAGCTGCTCAGTCAGTGCGGCCCATCAAAATAAAGTTACTTATCAGCCATTAGAAGGAGATAAATTATAAGCAAAGTCAGGTATTGTTTAAGATTTATAGCTAATATAGAATGTCATAAAATTAGTTTAATAAATTAAGACAAAGCACAAGCCAGATGGATTTAATTAATCAAATAACAGTGATGCCCATGCCGATAGACGATATTTAAAATAATCGTCCCACGCCCATCTCTAGCCAGCTGGGAAATAAAAAACACAAGCCATCGAAATACGCATCAAAAACTGTTTCCTTTTTAATATCAATTTCAAGTTTCAATTGTCATAACGAGGTAATCACCCAGAAAAGATGACCACAGCTGCGCGCCCTACATTCGATCCCGCCCGCGGAGGCTCCGGGCGAGGCGAGAAGGACCTGAGCGCCCTGAGCAAACAGTACTCCAGCCGCGACTTGCCAGGCCACACCAAGCTGAAATACAGGTAAGTGGCCGTAAATTGGAACTTTCAAGAGGGTATGCACCTAAATACGCAAACTTTTTGCTTGCAGAGAGACTGGCCAGGGCACCAGCGAGGAGATCCGCGGCCGTGACTTCCGCAAGGAGCTGGAGGAACGTGAGCGTGATGCTCGTTCTGGAGCTGGTTCTGGCAAGGCTCTGCCATCCATTGTGCGCAAGGCCATCGAGGCGAATAGCGCCAGTGGTGGCGGTGGGAGTGGCAGCAAGCGAGCCAAGACTGATGCCGCCCAGCAGCAGCAGCTGCAGCAACAGCAGCAGGCCGCCAACTTGGATGCGGACGAGCCGCTGGACAATGACAGTTCCGATTCGGACAGCGACTCGGATGACGACGATGCCGCCCTGTTGGCGGAATTGCAGAAGATCAAGCAGGAGCGTTTGCAGGAGACAGCGCGTCGCGATGCCGAAAAGAAGCAGGAGGACGAACGAATTCGAATGGAGAACATCCTCTCGGGCAATCCCCTGATCAACTACGAACCCGGAACGGCTGCCTCGGCAGCGGGGAGAGCCTCCGGACTTGGAGGCGACCTCAAGATCAAACGCCGCTGGGACGACGATGTTGTCTTTAAAAACTGTGCCCGTTCGGCGCCCGAGAAGAAGACTCACTTTGTCAACGATGCCCTGCGTTCCGATTTCCACAAGAAGTTCATGGACAAGTACATTAAGTAAAATCCCTTTCATTTTCATAATTACTTTTTTTGTGTAATAGTTTAAGTAAAAACAAACTAGCAATTTCATTTATCTGGCCATCCGCTATCCGTTGATAAGTAAAATCCATGATTTGTAAGAACATTTATTGTGTGTACATTATATTCCAGCAAGTACAGATTTGTGTAGAGCTGTTCCTACCAGGGAATGCCCGAAGATTACGAAGAACGTTTATAAGGTCAAAAGAGAAGCGTTTACTGAAATTTTAGTACAATTCTTGGTTGCTAAAGAGACAATAGTCCTAACTTAACTTTTGTGCATGAATTGTATATTCAATATACATTCCTTTCTTTCTTGTTTTCGATATTTTTGATATGATTCATATATCGTCTCGGACTTCTGCTCTCCATATAAAAATCAATCTTTAAATTAACGAATCTAGTATGCATTCTCAAGTCTGTTATTCATACACTTCATATACTTTTGATATTACCTTACAATTTTAGTCACTAAAGCTGAACGGAACTAGTAAGTACTAGTATCTGTTTTTTTTACACTATAAATCCAAATTTCTAAAAGCGATGTTATGATTTAGATAGTTTTTTCGGCCCCATCTGTCACGTATGTTTTTCGGGAGAAGCCCACTTGGTTTGACTTTTCTTCTTAGGTTTTGGCACGTCCTTGAGACGTCCAGCCCTTCGCTTGGATGCCTTCACTACCTTGACCGGCTTCCTTTTGGAAAGATCGGATGAGAGTTTTTCGGATCAGCCACTTTTCCTGATGTCTTCGGAACCTAGTCAAGCTTCAACTTTAACTTATTATACAGAAGGACCTTTTCGCTGTTCCTGCATTGCTGATGCCTTTTAAACTATCTATCTTCAACTCAATAGAAGAAGAAGGCAGGAGGGCGTCACCTGTAAGGTGTTTAGGTCAAAAGTAATTACACAAATTCACAATTATTTTCTCGTCCAACTTCTTTCAGTTGGTAATCTTTTTTTTTTTATTTATTTCCCTGAAATGTTCTTTATCTTTTTCTTTATTTATGCAGAAACAAGCCAAAAGGGAAAGCAAAAGATAATGGTTCATAGGAAAATGCTAAAAGTTTAATAAACTCAATTTCAGTCAATGAAAAGCCTTCATTAATGGCAAAGCAAAATTAGGAAAAGTAACTATGCTAAAAACAATATTCGTTTTTAATAGAATTAAATTTAAAATGAAAACAATTAGTGTGTAAATACTACACTTTACATGGAGCTCTTCTTTTACTTATAGCATTTTCCTATGAATCGTTATTTTTTGCATGTTTTTTTTTTGCTTGCTTCCGCATAAATTAATCTACGCGATAAATAAAATTATAGGGAACTTGGTGAACAACAACAAGAATAATAACTGAAAGAAGTTGGGCGTGATAAATAAATATCTAAATATTTAAATATCTTTGACCACCTCTCTATATATAATAATATATAAAGAGCTTGATAAGTATCAAAATAAGGTGTTTTCGACATATTTTTAACTTCTTTGAGATAAAGCCTTTTGTAATTCATTATTCCGAATTTCAGTTTAAATTTGCATCATATAGCTGGCATAAAAACAAACATTAAATTTATTGGAAATGTTTAACTGTATCTGTACCTTGTTATTTTTGAACATAAATATGTATGTATTGTATTAAATATGAACAGATTATTAATTATTTAAAATGATAAATTAAAAATGCAATCTCAAGGAAAGCAATTGCCATAAGATCTGTTAAAGTTTTAGCACTTTAAAACTGTCGCAGACTTAAAAAAAAGAATTCCAATTCCAAAATAATTGAACTACTACTAATTCCTTTATAAAATGTATTATTTTAAGTAAACTAAATTAAGGATTAAGCATTAAAAATTCAAACAAACTGCTCTTTCGTGTTACCCTTGCTTTTGGCCAATTTATTTATGCCAAAATAGACATGTTCAACATCATTTGGTCTTTTGGGGCTGTGTGACCCAATGACTGACCGCGAGTGCGAGTCCGAGTGCGAAGGGCAGGCAACCTTAACCAAAGTGTGAAACCGCAAGAAACATCGGTAGCTGGTGGTAGCTGGCCAAGGGACAACGGCAGCTTCCGACAAGGGGCAGCTGTGGCAGGACTGCGGGGAGACGGAGGTGGTGAGGGCGGGGCAGGGTCAGGCTACGTGAGCCCACGAAAGAAAAGCCCAAGAAGCCCAATCATCGCGGCGATCATCGCAAGGGCAATTGTCGCTGCTGATGAGGCACGAAGCAAAATCAATTTGCCCCAAGGAGCCGAGGCGCGGCGGGGCCAAGCAAGCGCAAAATAACTTGGTCAATTACCTCGACCCTAGAGCAGCATGGAGTACACTAGAAAAAATTAAGGCAAAGTAATACAATTTCGAAATATAAGGAACAAAATTTAACTGAAAAGTCCAATAGTTATACTATTATACTATATTATAGTTATACTATTATACTATATTATATATACTATTATACTATATTATAGTTATACTATTATACTATATTATATATACTATTATACTATTTATAGTTATACTATTATACTAAATTATATATACTATTATACTATATTATATATACTATTATACTACTATTATATATTATACTATTGCAGACTTCCTTTAATCTTGCTTTAAACTTTGTAATTTTAAAAGTTTAAATTTCCCTTTTAAAAATAAACCCTCAGGAACACATTGTTTTCAGTGCATCTACGTGCTACGTGCAACATGCAGCAACAACAATATTAGCAGCAACAAATGCAAATCATCCAAAGAGAGAGAGCTTGCTTGATTTCCACGCCTCTTTAATACCCCGCACGCGGCAGCCTGCGCCATTCTGAGGAGCATCTGAACTTCGACTTTGTCAATGAGCCCACGTTCCGTCTTCGACTCCGAGTCCAACTCCGACTCCAGCTCTGCTCCTTGGCGGAGGGATCAGCACCTGGTCGCGACCCCGCTCCCAAAGTTGACGAACGCTCAATTTTACGCTAATTCGATCAGAATCAAAATCAAACAAAATTAGCCTATGGACAGTCGGCAAAGCGATGATGATCGTGTTAATACACTCGTAAGCAAAGAAAACAAGATACAAATAAATAAATAAACAATGAAATTAAGATACAAAAGTATCATTAAATAAATAAATAATATTTATATATATAAAACTGCATAATTAAATATATATAATTAATAAAGAAATAAATACAAAAAAAAGAATAAATAAATGCATAATATATTGAATAAATAAATAAATAAATAAAAATTATATATAGCGATAGAAATAAATATATAGAAATATATAAAAATCATAAATAAATATTTAAGAATTGACATAAATAAAATAATTATAATAATAAATAGGTAAATAAATAAATTAATAAATAACTGCATAATTAAATAAATATTTGTAATAAATAAATAAAGAATAAAATACATAAACAAATAAATTAATAACTAAATGCATAATATATTGAATCAATAAACAAATAAATAAAAAGAATGTGTATATAAGATAGAAACAAATATATAAATAAATAAACAATTAAATAATTGAAATAAATGAATAAAGTATGAAATACATAAACAAACAAATGAATAAATAAATACGTAAGTAAATAGATAATATATTGAATCAATAAATAAATAAACAATAAAATATATAAATTAAATAAAGAATAAAATAATTATAATAGTAAATTGGTAAATAAATAAATTAATAAATAACTGCATAATAAAATAAATATATTTAATAAATAAATGAAGATTGAAATACATAAACAAACAAATAAATAAATACATAAATAATTAAATAGGTAATATATTAATTCAATAAATAAATAATTAAAAAATATATATAACTATATAAATAAATATACAAATAATTACATAAATTATTATAAAAATAAATACATTAATACATTAATAAATAAATAAATAAATAAATAAATAAATAAATAAATAAATAAATAAATAAATAAATAAATAAATAAATAAATAAATAAATAAATAAATAAATAAATAAAAATATATAAAAATAAATACAAAACAATAAATTAACAATAAAGAAATGATTGAAAATGAAACATTTCTATTAAATTCAGCTGAAAAAAATATTTAATTGTGAAAAGCTCATTTTAATGCCGCTAAATATGTAAGAAAGAATTCTTTATTAAGACCAAAGGATTAGGTAAAACAAGTTATAATAATAATTATTAATAGTAACGAAAATTTAAATAAAAAATATACTTATTTTTTAAATATTCTTTCACAGAACTTATTAAAATACACCACATTCTTAAGAGAACCTTTGTTAGACAGTGTTTCTCGGATTGATGATGGAGAATATGTATATATCGCTATGATGACGACGCTGCTAATGATAATCATGATGATTGTTGTTATTACCTTACCTGCTTCGGCTTCTGCTTCTGCTCCTGAAATCTGATGGCAGTAAAAATACTTACAATGCCTCCCTCCGCCTGAGCATAATTTATTTCCTGTTTGGCATTATGCATACCCATTATTTTGTGCATTCATCAAGAGACGGAGTCCCGGGACCAAGTCGGGCTGGGACTGAGTTTCGTTGTATGCAGATTGGCATGGCTTTTGTCGATACACTGAGGAAATTAATGGTAATGCCTTGAAAATCAAATAAAAATGTTATAATAATTAAGGGAAATTTAAAGCAAACGCCTTGGAAATCAAATCCAAATGTTATAATAAGTAAGGGAAATTTAATGATAAGCTCCTGATAATTTAGAAAACACTTCTTCCAAACTCAGAGCTATGATTTAATATTAGAGTATTTACATTAAGAATTAAATAAGAGTGATACACAAGAAAACTGAATTCTTTTGGAAAGTTTGCATTATTTTATTTATATCTTAATGATCATATTTTTCAACATAACTGGAAATTAAAATAATTTTAAATATGTTTTTTAAATTTTTTGAATATATTAAAATGCACTTAATCATAATAATAAGGTGCATGTCATAATGTTTAATGCATTAATGTTATAACACTGATGGAATTGGGCACTATGATATGTACCCATATAAAATATTTACCATTTTAACTACTATATATTTATTTAATTTTAACAAACATTTTTTAAAACTGTCAAGAAGATCTCGGAAATTTAATACATTTCTTCTGGATTTTTTGATTTTAACTGTAATTATTTGTAATAAACAAAGGTGAGCTCCTATATAGTGTAGAAAATGAATCTATAAATACAATATGATCATGATTTTTCTCTCAGTGCTCAATGATATTTGCTGCTGCAGTTTTCGGTAGTCGCTGCGCGCTAAATTGTGGCCACCGAACGAGAGGGCCAAGTCAAGACTTCAATGGGGAACGGGGAAGGGTGGGGCTTGGGACGGGGAACCTGGTCCACTGGCATGGCCTATCAATTGTCAGCAATTTTGCAACTGCATAAACTTGAAAAAGGCAGAAACAAAACGGAAAAAAAGACCCAATACAAACCGAAAAAAATAACTACAACCAACAGCATAAATATGGCGACTGACCGACGGAAATGGCCGTCGCGGTTGCAAGTGACAAATAGCCGCCTAGCGTTGGCAGTGAGGGGTTAATCGGGGGATGTAGTGGGCGGGGTCCTGCCTGCCACCAGGAGGAGTCACTGAACCAGTTGACCACCAAATAAAGACCGCGAACATATGTTTCGGCCTGGCATCAATATGGCCAACACCACCCGAAAAATAAAAAGAGGCTGGGCGACTTGATACCGAGGGGAAAAAAATCTATAATGAAGAAATTGTAATGTAAATCGATTAGCTAATATTAAAATAATAGTTATTACTTGTAATATTAATGTATTAATTTATTTACAGTCACCTTCATTATAAACTTAATATAATTTTGATAACTTAAAGCCGGTTCCGAAAATATAAAAATGTCTAGATAACTAAATTCAAGTCAAATAAAATATTTTTTTTAACAAAAATTGGGAACTATTAAATATAAAAAAATACTTTTTAATATTAATAATAAATTAATAATGGTAGACAGCAACTTTAATTTAATTTCATTTCGTTTGTAACCTAGAGCATCATTTTTACATTAATAATTACAAGACGTAATGTTTAAAATAATTAAATATATTTATTAAAAGTTGCTTTGGGAACAGAAATTTAACTGAAATTGAATGGACTTTTAAAATGTATAAACATATTTCGATTTTAAAACAATTGTAAACAAATTGTAGTAAATTAAAAATTATTATATATGACAAAAATTCAAAGATAACTATCGTTTACATTAAAAATAATATAAACGTTGTTTGACATTAAAAAATAACACAGCTTTAAAACCTTCTTAAAACCTCAAATGTATTATAACCATTAAAAAAATTAATTCTAATTTAAATGTTAAGTTCTTAAATATAAATATTTTGTTGTAATATTTTTAAAACATGTTCATTTAGTGTCCTGCCATCGGTAGCAACATCAAAAGGAGCAACATTGATTGCAGCAGCAGCAGCAACAGCAACATGACCCGAGGTGGCGACACTTTATTTAGCTTTAAAATTTTATAGAATGCAAATTTCACTCAGCTGTTGCTCCTGGTGTCGAGTCCTGGGATTTTACCAAAAAAACCCAAGGAGTGGGCTTCATTCGGAAGGATGAAGAGTGCAAAATGATACAGTTGCCGATGCAGTCGGACAGTTAACAGCTTGGCTGCATCGATGCCACTGCCACTGCCACTGCCACTGCAACTGCTGCATAATTTAGTTGACCAATTTACACTGGACGAGGGCATCGTTCGGCACTGAGTGCAACCGGAAATGCAGGCACCCAAAGAGCCAAAACATTTCTGTGGCCTTCCTCACTCTTTCGATTTGTACATACATATATTTGTTGTATTTTTGAATTCCTTTTTTATTTGTGGGGGGAGCTTGCCGCCTGCACTTGACATATTTACTCGGGCCAGGGCCATTGGTAAATTGTTGCAGGCCAAAAAAAGGATGTGGAGTTCAAGTATCAAGTCGGTGGGGTTTTTTCAGGGTCAATTAGTTGGGATTTAACCACCAGGCTTAAAGTTATTAATAAGAGTATTGTTTAGGGGACTAACAAAAACACTAGGCTCAAAAGGGTGTCTAAAAGTATGCAATGATCTTCTTTAAGTACCAAATTCAATGCCGTTTAGATTAAATTGCCACAAGGCAAGGTAACATTGCGCTAATCAAATAATAATAACTTAATTTAATTAAATGCAAAACAATTGTAACCTATAACAATTTTTTGCATCATTTTGGATACCATCTTAGGGGTCTTATAAAGTTAAAAGTTAAACAAGATATGTGACATTGCATGGTTTTATACATAAACTAATTAAATGTGTGAACTGAAAATTTACTGGAAGTTTCATAAATAAGATAACATATATAGAAAGCAACATTGGTTTTTAAATAAATTAAAAATAACTATTTAAGAACACAATTTTCAATAATTGACTCATTTCTATTTGTTGCTATTTCTTTTATCATACTTTTTGACAGCACTTTAATTGATTTTGTGTCATATGTTAATAATTAATAAAACAACAAATATTTAGACATTTTCTTTTCTTGTTTTTTAAATATATGGTATAGTTTATTTATTTATTTTTTTATCTAATCCTATTTTGTATAGTGACCCTGATAAGTGAAGTCCCTTAAACGTAATAATGCTTTAACCTGAATCTGCGTAGCAAACTAATTTCAAGTGTCCGCTAATACGATTAAAAACAAATTTCACACAAGCCAAAATATGCTATGAACTTCATTGAACCTCATGCCATTAGCTCGCCAGGAATAACATGGTAGGATTGCATTTACACTGCTAAAAATTATATATAAAAAACTATACAAGGCAGCTTGTTCTTGACTTTGTGTGAATATTTTTCCTCAAGTTTCTCCTATTATAAAAATATCTAAAAAATCTAAAATCTAAGGCAAACGTCTGGCTTTGAATCTATAAAACTATGCACACTATCCCTATAATTTTTGAAAGTGTAGCCACATACCAGAACCCACACACACACACAACCGCTTAGCGGACGTGTGGCAGACGCATATTTCCGAGGCACAACGTGGGGCAGAGCCAGAGGCAGAGGTGCTGGACCAAAACCAATCCCGAAACCCAAAACCCGAAACCTGGCACCAAATCGATGGACCATTGACTGGCCATTGAGGCCGCTAATTCTAAGGCTTGAGTAGGTGCATCAACAGGTGGATGGGAAGGAGCACCAGTGTCCAGTGACCAGTGACCAGGATCAGGCGAATGGTTAACCGGAAATGCGGAATGCAAAAGAGCGTTGCCAGGAGCAAAGGTGAGCAAAAACTAAAAGCTCATTTGCAGCTACTTCCGCTGCTAAATGAAAATGCATTTCCTGCTTGGAAAAGCGTTTAAGGTCAGGTCAACGTAATGATAATGGTGGTGGTGGTGGAAGGATGCTAACTGGACTGGCAACGAGGACCAGTGGTTGCGTGGCTGAGTGGCTGGCGGCCTCCTGCTGCTGCCTATGACAGCAACATTTTTATGCAAAACGTTGCGACATCTGTAAATGATTTGCTCCCATTAGAAGATGGCCCCAAAAAAGGAGCAGGGAGGCAGTCAGGCAGCCAGGAGTTTATGGAGATTCAGGAGCCTACGCTGGTGGCTTGCTCCTCCTCCTCCTCCTCCTCCGTGTCCGTGTAACTATGATTCCTCTGGCTATACTTCCGGCCAACGGCAAAAGTCACCATCAAATCCCCTTTGCCCGTAAACTGTTCCCCACTGGCAGAGATGTGTCCTGCAATTGAAGATGGAATTGGAGCTGGAGTTGGTCAGTAGGCAGATATATTCAGCCGGAGGAGCCAGAGTGCCAGCCGCAAAATGCGTTCCGTTCGCATCTTCCGGAACTGCCAAAAGGGGTCCAAGAAAAAATTGCCAAGCTACAGGGATAGAGTTACAATGGAGAGCAACGACTATGAAAATGCTCTTTAATAATAAAGAATAAACTATAAAGTAAAGTATATACGAATATAGTAGGAATATTGATTATTTTAGTGTTTTCATTCAATAAAGAATAAAGTATAAAGTAAAGTATACAAGAATATTGTACAAATATTAATTGTTTCAGTAACACAAGGATTAATCAAACTTGTACGAGGAATTAAGAAAGTTTAGATGGTATAGAAATTAATTGTATTCAACAAAAGAAGGCAGACTACTTAATCAATTTTTATTGTTGCCTGTTGCCCCAACTTTAGTAAAACAAGAAAGAAAACAAATTTTTAAATTTAAATTTAAATTTTAGCAATGGGGTTACATTGTTATAAACTTTAGAATAAATTTACAAAAATGTTTTTCTTTCCTACATTACTAGAAAGATTTGCCTGTTGATGTTGATCAAGAATATATAATATATGATTTATAGGATCGGAAATGTGTCCTTCAAAAACTATATATATAAACTATATGATTCCAAAAATAAATTATTAAATAATCTTTGA